AAAAGATGAGACACTCCAGACAGGATAATTCATAGAGTATATTTACAAAGGAGTTTTTACAAAAGTGTGACTATAGAGGAACCATAAGGGAAAGTATAATCATCCAGACTAACAGTAACAAGCTGATACCACCCCTCAGTCCTGAGACCAAGATGAGAGCGTGGTTACCAAGACTTGAAATGAAGAAGAGTTAAGCTTACGTGGCCCTGGAAGAGGAGCAGTGACATTTGGTTGAGGGACACAGCTGGCCTGATACAAAGAACAGGGGGATGAAATCTTTGTAGTTGCTCCTCGGCTCTGTCCCTCCCTGCCCCTGCCAGGATGCCCTATTAGCCATCCACAAGTGGGCACGTTTGATGTAGGAGTGGTAAGGATTTAGAGCAAATCAGAGGACCATATGGTGGATAGCCAGACAGCTCACCTGCCCTAAAATGACCTCCAGCCACAGTCTTTAAAACTGAAAACAGAAATGTCTGGCTGTTTTACAATAGTCACTTCCCTTACTTTGGCCATCAGCATTCATCAGGATGAAGGTTTAACCAAGAAGCTCTTGCCATTATTCTTAAATGGAATGTCAATGTTCAGTGTTTTAGAATTTTATTTTACCACACTTGAAACTAAAATTCAGAACTATTCAGTTCAGTATGGAAGTCAAAAATGTCACACCTGGAATCTAAAAGTCAATTTAAGTACAGCAGTGTACATGACTTTGGATACATTCTTCAGTTTCTTAGCAACTCAGTTTCATCATTTACAAAGTGATCTACTTAAACCTGTCAGAGATTCCATAAGCTGATACAAGAAAAGTTCTTAAAACAACCCCTAGCACAGAATACACATTCAACCTCAATGTCAGCTGTTACTATGTCTCCAGCTCCCTGCCTTTCAGCACTCTGCATTCCAGTTCTAGCCCACCATTTACCAGTCTGCTTTCACTTTCTGCAATACGACTTGTTCTCTGGCCTCTAGACCTTCATACAAAACTATTTGCCTGGCTAATTCTTATTTTAAAAACAATCAGGGGCTTTTTCATATCCATCCATTTTGAAGGCAGTGAGGAAGCACAGGGCAAACAATAAAATTAAGTGGAAGTCATGCAGTTCTCAAAGCATATTCCCTGCTGCTCAGCTGTGAACAGACCAAACACACTGGAGAAAAGACTTCCCACTGTTGACATTTGTGGACCCCCAAAGAAATCTGGCACATTTTTAGTGTACCAAACAGTAAAGCCATTAATCCAGAGGTTTTCACAACGTAATGTGCATTTGAATTACCTGCTCATCTTGTTAAAATACAAACCTGGAGTACATAATGAGGCCTGGATTTTGGCATTTCAAAAAATGTACCCAATGTAGCTAATGTCCCTGATTTTTACTAGTAGCAAGGTGTTATTCAACTTATCTTGTCCATACATTCAATACCCAATTAGCTCTTTAGAGCTTCATTCTTAAATATGAACAGACTACTAACATAAGGACAACCTTAAGGATGATCTTGAACATAAAGAGAGAAACCAAAACAAACCAGCATTACAAAGAATGCAAATAAACAAATCAAAGCAGAAAATAGAAGAAAAACTAAAACAAACATATAATAATTCCTCAGAGAAAAGATATTCCTGTCCATAAAATAAGGATAGAAAAATAAAACAAGGGGAGGGTGGCAGTCAGGAAGAATAGGCTTTCAGGATTAAAAAAATTTTCTAAATGGAATTTAAGGGCCCTCCCTGGTGGCACAACAGGTTAAAGCACAGCACTACAACACTAGAAGCAGCCACTTCACAAGTTCGATCCCCAGCTCCAGAGGTGACCCACATGGTGTCATAGACCTCTCCTGACCCACCTGCTGCTCCCCTCAGCAGTGCACTTCATCAATCTGCCTGTTCTACACCCAACTCTGTCTCTGGTGAGTCCTCTCACCACCCCTCACCTTTGGCCTGTACCCAGTTCTGTATGTATAAATAAATATTTCTTTAAAAATGGAATTTAAAGTGGTTGAAGACAAGGACAAGGAAATATCTCAGAAAAAATGGAGCAAAAACAGTGGGTGTAGAGTTTCAGTTTTGCTAGAAAAAGGAGTTCTTCAGATTGGTTGCACAGCAATGTGACTATACTTAACACCACTAACCTGCACATTTAAAAATGATTAAAATAGGCCCTTCCTGCTGGCACAAATGGCTAAAGCACAGCACAATGAAGCTATCACAGCCACTGCAACACGAGTTCGATCCCTTGCCAAAGAGGTGATTCACATGGCACAGCAGACCTTTGTCTCACCTGCTGCTCCCCTCAGCAGTGTATTTGAGTCAACCTGCCTGTTCTGCTCCCCACCGTGTCTGTGGTAAATTCTCTCACCCTTGCACCTCTGGCCTGAAGCCCAGTTCTTGTGTGCATAAATAAATAAATCTTAAAAATAAAATGATTAAAATAATAAATTGTATGTTATATATGTTTTGCTACAATTAAGGTAAAATAAAGCTTCCAAAGAAATAAAAGAGAAAGTAAAGGGCTTGATCCAGAAATCTAACTTCTAGCTAATAGGCATTGCAAGAAAATAAAGAAGAAAAGAAGAAATTACCACAAAAATAATAAAAGAAAATTTCCTCCAGAAGTGAAGGACATGACTTTGAGGTACAATTTTGTTAATAAACCCTAAGTTAAAAAAAAAAAAAGTTATAGCAAAACATATCATTTAAAACTTTCTGACTAAACATCTAAAAAGAAAAACCTAATTCCTCTCAAGATGGGGAAGATGTAACAGACAAATGATCAGGACTATGAGTAAGAATCAGGTCTTTAAAATAACATATCTGGGGTCCTCCCTGGTGGCACAATGGGTTAAAACACAGCACATGAAGCTGTCCATAGCCACTGCAGTACGAGTTTAATCCCTGGCCAGGCAAGTGATCCACATGGCACAGCAGACCTCTCCTGTCTCCCCCATTGCTCCCCTCAGCAGTGTGTTTCAGTTGATCTGCTGTTTGCTCCCCACTCTGTCTCTAGTGAATACTCACCCTCCTGCACCTCCAGCCTGAATCCCACTTCTTGTATGCGTAAATAAATCAATCTTAATAGATAAATACATAAAATAAAATAACATCCATGGAAGATGGAAGAAAATGGAGTAATACCTTCAAAATTGTGAGGGAAATGTATTTTCACATTTCAATTCAATTTAGCCTAATAAATCAAATGCTGGGCCAGAATTATGATGTTTTCAAATATGCAAATATTCCAAAAACATATCTGCTGTGTTCCCTTTCTTAGGAAGTTACTAAAGGAGGTGTTTCAGAAAAACAAGGAAGTAAAACAAGAAAAAAGGAAGACATTGGATCCAGGAAATGGCAAAGCCAGCCCAGAAGAGCAATGAAGGAAAATCCCAAAATGACAACTGCATAGTCAGTCTCTAAAGCAGTTAGTCCAAACTGAAAGAAGAGGAAGATGACTCTGTGACAAAGATTCTAGAGGAAGAATGGAACTAATGTATTTGAATATATGGAAAATATTATTTCTAGACTTTTTTTAATGAGTTGAAATATTTGCAGAGACAAGAGGGGTCAGCTGTAGGTGTACAGAAAATTGGACAGTGAGCAAAAAAAGAAATCACTAACCTTAAGTAAAACACTGTTGTATAAGGTAGGTGGCATGTTGTAATGTACTTCTTGGCCCCTAGAAACAATGTTTGCATACATAATGACTTAAATGTCAATTATTGGCTTATCCAAAAATTGTTAAATAACTATATTGAGGGGAGCAGAAATATTAGAGGCAAGTTGTTATCTACCATGGCAAGATGTGAACAGATAATGATTAAAATTAACAAAGCAAGAAATAGTAATATATAAACATTTATACAGAAATATGTACCTAGTGAGAATGAATACTTAAGGGTTAAGAACATTACCTCTAAAGAATATTGTCTACAAAGAGTAAGCCAAGGAACTACTTATTTTTATTACAAATCATTTAATATTACATAAGTGTATATTTAAACTATGTATAAGATTTATTTCAGTGCAATAAACGTTGATGTTAAAATGTTAGTGACCCCACAAAATGATGTAAAATAAAATATTATATTAGTTTAAAAAAAAAGAAGAAAGGAACATGAAGAAAGATGACCCCCCCAAAAAAAATGTTAGTGACCCACAGGGCCTACAACTGAGAAGGGAAAATATGCAAAATGAAGAATGATGTAAAAATTAATTAAAAAATAAAATTTACAAATATTAGGGAAAAATTGGGGGATCTGCAATGTTTTCAATGGCCAAAAAAGTAAAGAAATCTATTTTAAAGGGCTGACTAGTGCCGGGAGTTAGTTTTTTTAATTTTTTGATCCCTCCCTCCCATCGTCTACATCCCTTAAGTACACTTAAAAAAAAAAAAAACGTTTTGGGGGGTAGTGGGAGGCAGAAACAGGCAGGAATCCAGAGAGGCCTATTCATGAGGTGACTTCTCAGTCCTTTCTTCCAATGTCTTTTCAACAATTTGTAGTTCCAGAATTGAGTTGGTTGTGTCTCCTTTACTAGACTGTAAGTTCAAGGAAGTCAGGCCTCGTCTATTCCACTTATCACTATATCCCCAGCACAGAACAGGAAATGATCATTCAGTAAATGAATGAATGAGTGAATGAATGAATGAATCTCAAATGAATGCTGAGTCGGCCATTAGTGTGGAATGAGGACGGGACACTGACAAACGCGCCGAGAGAAAAATCAGTCGGCCAGAAGATGACAGGAACCAGCTTCTGTCAGGGTTTCAAATGACAAGACGGAAAGGGTGGAGCTGGACCTCTGAGCTCCGCAACTGGGAGGAGAAAGTCACTGACCGGGAATGACAGCCTGGTGCCGGGTTTAGACTAGAGGACGCTGAATGCCATGGGGTCTGTGGGAAAGTGGAGGTGGGGCGGCGATATCACGCATGCGCACGCGGGGCCTCCAACTCCCACCGCCTCCCTCAGGCGCGCGTGCGTGCGCATGCACGAGGAACCGGGGCGGAAATGGCGCCACGGGGCCGCGCGTCCGGGCGGCGAGCGGAAGTGGGTGTGAGAGCGGAAGTGGCCGGCCTGAGCCGGGGGCTGGGCGGGGACCGGGCTTGTCGGTGAGGCGGCAGCGGCGGCGGCGGCTCGGCAGGCGGGTGCAGGCTTCGGGGGCCAGGTCGGTCGGGTGGGTGGGTGTCTCCACAGCCAGTGCGTGCGCGGAGTAGCGAGCGCGTCTCCCCTTTCCCCCCACCCCGATCCCTCTCCCCTTCTCCCCTAACCTCCTACCCCACCCAGCCCCCCTCCTCAGGGGGCAGCAGGGCCGCTCCCTCCGTCCTTCCCTCCCTTACCCACCCTCACCCGCCCTTGTTTCTCCTTCCCCTGCCCGGGGCAGCCGCCGCCATGATCCTGCTGGAGGTGAACAACCGCATCATCGAGGAGACGCTCGCGCTCAAGTTCGAGAACGCGGCTGCGGGGTGAGCGCGCGCCCGGGGCGCGGGGGTAGCAGGGGAGACAGAGTTGACCCTTGCCATTGCCCAGGCTGGTCCGGCCCCCCAGATGTGAAGGAGAGAGGTGGGGAACCTGGCCGGGTGTGGAGACTGCCCCGGCGGAGTAGACGTGGGAGGCGATTGGGCGCGGTGGGGTGAGGGGCAGAGATGCGTGGGGAGAGGCTCGGAGGAGGGATGCGGAAGCAGTGAGTGGACAGGAGTGCGCCTGCCGAAGGGCAGGAGACCTGTGGGACGTGAGGGCAGCTTGGGCCGGAACTCTCGCTGATGATCCCTTTGCTCTCTGGAGCGGGCAGGGGACCACTTTCCTCTAGGATCCCCGTTTTTGTTCTGAACCCGAAGAGAGCCTTCGGGTTGGAAGGAGTTTCCAGGCATTCCTAGGAGTGGAGGAGGGCAGAAGATGCAGGCCTAGATCACCACCAGCCTTGGCACTCCCCACCCCCATCTCCTCGTCTAAAGGAGCTGGAGGGAACACTGAAAGCATACCCAATCTTGGCACCGGAAAAACGCGACCTCCCCAGTTTCCCTTCCCCAAACTCCACTGTGAGACACACTGGCCATTTTATTTCACATTTCTCAAGCAAAACTAATAGTCTTCCCCACCCAAACTCCTTCCTTATCTCTCTTCTGAGATTCTGATGCCTCTGTCCCCACCCACTAGTCTTTATCTGGTTATCTTTTAAATGCTTCTTCTGGACCCCTCATCAGTGATTTCTTGTTGGCAGTCCTGGCCCTGGTAAACACTGAAAAGTCTCCAGAGCCTATTCAGTTCTTAGATAACCTTATTATTATTATTATTATTAGTGTTACCACTGGCCTATTACAGGTTGGGATAGAACCGTTTCAAGGCAGCCTTCCTTCTCTGTCAAACACAGAATGAGAAGACCGACTACCTCCTCCCCAAAGCTACTTTGCTTTTTTCATATATTTAAAACATGAGCCAGGGAATTGGGTTTCAGCTTCTGAATATTGGTGGCCTGTGGCCATTCCCCTTGCCTCATTTCCCCCTCTGGGAGGATGGGGCTTCACATCTTGGCTTCACGCTTGAGGAAAAAAGTGCAAACTGTTTCTAGTGAACTGGGAAGTAGTAATAGGAAAGTGCTTGGAAATCCACAGATGGTGAAGGATTGGTGGAGGGGAAACTAGGTGGTCATAATGAACTTGTGACTTGGAGGCATTTTAAAAAATACTTCTAACCCACTGCTTAAGTTGAGCACCTTCTGACTCCTATCTAAGGCTACAGATTTTATCTCTAACATAAGGCACAACTCTTTTTAAGTAACACATACAGTGAGTGCGGCTTCCTCCTGCCAGGGGCTGCAGCAGGGGCTGCTTATTATATTTTAAGCTTGTCTCTTGCCGTCAGCCTCCCTTACCACTCCCTTTGCACTGTAAATATTCAAGCAGATCATCTCAGAGTCTTATTTTGGGTGATTGTTCTGTACTTTTTTGGGCAGTGTGGCTCACAGGAGGAAGTTAAATTAACTTCTTCATTTTCACAGCTGATCTTAAAGTGCATTCTCAAGTCCAGACTAGCAAAGAATGAGACCTGGGTGGTTAAGCTGATCTGTGAGATAAATGCCTGTGTATTTTTTTTTTTTTTCAAGTAGAAGCATGCCTTGTGTACAAGTATAGTCACATCTATTTGTGTATTAACAACTTGTGATTCCAAAACATAACTATTCAGAACTTCAGCTCTTTTCCTTTAAAAAAAAAAAACTATAAAAGGGCAGCCAACCATTTCAGAGGAATTGAAGTAGACTCTGGAATCTAGAAGACCCCAAGCTAGCACTTCCATGGCATTTCTTACAAAGTATATGTTCTAGCATTGTTAAAGATTGGGTCAGGGTGGTGATTTTGTCTTTTATCCTCGTCCATCTTCCTGTTGAGATGTGTCTTTCAGTTAGAGGACTCAGAACATACTCTGCTGAATAGCACTTTGAAAATCTTTGAGAAGTCACCGTGGCTTCGGCACTGGAGGTAGGGTTTTTCCCTGAACACCCAGCAGAAGCCTGCTTCTTTGCCAAGTGTGTTTCCAGGCACCACTAGTAAAGTGAGGCAGCAGTGAAGTAGTTAAGTGTTTATCAAGGCGTATGCCTATGCCAGAAGCTGGCAAAGGATGACTAGTGTGATAATCATAAACTTTTATTGGATTCTACCAGTGGTCAGCACTGGGCAGTAACAGAAAAGAGAGGCATTTTTGAGAGAGCGAAGGGGCGCCTTTCTGAGAGAGATGTGTTTGGGGTGAAAAATCGATGAAAGACATTAAAGAAAGCGAGTAGCTGGCAGGAGAAGCCCTGGAGATTTGAAAGGCTTTACTGGTGCCCGAGTCTCCTGGGAGAGGTCAGCTCCACCCTGCTTTACACTTCTCAAGAGCAAACCAATTGGGGAAATTATAGTTCAGAGCAGCCTTTTCCAGAGTGAATCTTTCAATTCTGCCTTCAGTGTCTGATATGATAGCCAGTGGCTATGTGTGGCTTGTTAATATTAAATAACAATGTGAAATGAAATTAAAATTACCTTCCTCTTTTGCACTAGCCGGTGCATAGTCACCACGTGTGGCTAGTGGTGGCTGTGTTTAGACAGCGCAGATGCAGAACATTTCCATTATTACAGAAAGTTCTATTGAACCATTCCATTTACACATTTTATTCTAAAAATTATAGCATGAGTTAGTCTTAAAAATAGTTCTGTGGCATATACTTCAGAGTACAGTTGCCATAATCTTCCTTTTGAGTTTGATCTTTTTAATGATGCCTCAGATTATCCTACTGGACCTTCTTGCCTGTGACTTCCAACCAGAAGTCTAAACTGCCTTTGGATAAAGCATTTCTATCATCTAAAATCATATAATCTTTTAATTTGGAAGCAGTTTTGACAAAACCTAAGATTCATTACAAATTGTTCTTTATTTTTTTACTATCACACTCCTGGGAAAGTGGGTGATTGTCATAATTAATGTAGTCTCACAAAATGATAATTATTGGTAAATTGTCTTCCCCAGCAGCCTACAAACTAAGAGAAGGTGACTGGTTAAAATGCTGTACTCACAGATAAAAAAGAAAGGAGCTATACTCCCAGTGACCTTCTGTGCAGGTGTCAACATTGCCTTTCATTTAGAGTTCACCCCCTATTAAAGCAGCCTTAATTTGGTGAATTAATTCTTCTGTTACCATATATATACCAAGGGTCTTTGCAGCCTCAGAAGCTAGACCTGTCAATTTAGTTAGCGTCTTAAGAGTTCAAAATTAAGGAAATGCTGTCAGATGTGAATTGCTGTTGATTTTAAGTGCATGCTGGCTCCTTGCCACAGCTGTGCATATTGTGGGGAATGTGATTTCTGTGAGGGGGTGTGAAGCTCAGTAAGTAAGCAGTGCCAGCATGGTGGGCGAGGACTGTGGGAGGAGAAGTTTGAGAAAAGAATAAATTAAATCTTGTTGATACCTTATTCTCTTTCCAAATATGCTGCAAGTGTCCTCAGAGAGACAGATTGGTTTCAGTGATTTGGAATTAGGACATTGCTTAAGTATGTAGAAGAATTAGAATGTAAAGGCTGACTTGCTAAGATGATCTGATTGGTCTTTTGCAGGTCATTATTACACACTGCGCCTCTGTCCTTTGGCTACCTGTGACCACTTTAGGTTTGGAGCCCCAGAGGTACACTCCACCAAACTGATGGCTCCTTAAGGCAGGCTCTATAATTTGTCACGTTTGTCTCCCGGCATCCTCACTTTATATATAGTCAGCTCAGTAAACTGTCTTCTTGAAGGAATGGATAAAACCTTTAGAAGTTTTTTGCTTTCCTACCACTTGTGCAGATCAGCTTGTAGATCCTCTTCTCTGTATTTTGAGATAGTAATAGAGGGCCACTTTTGTAGGCTTTGCTCTAAAAGCATGATGGAATCCTTGTAGCAAACTCAAGCAAAGAGTGATCCGAAATAATGAACAGAGCTCAGTAATTAAGTTCATGAAAGAGCTAATTAGAACCGAGACCTAAATTCCAAGATTGAGGATTGGATACATGCTAGAGTAAAAACTCCAAAATCCTTACTGAGAAAAAAAGATTAAATAATACATTTTCCAGAGTTCTTCGCTGACTGATTAGTGGCATTCTAGAAAGTAGGAAATAAATATTTCTAAGGAATGTTAAGAATAGCTCTTGAACACATCTAAATGAAATTTGAATGTTTTAGTGTCTCTCGCAGGGTCGTCAGTGATCGAGAGGACTTACCGGCTGCCTTGTTCTGGAGTCTAAACATTGCAGTATCCTGGCACTGATGGGGGTCTTGTTCCTCCTTGTGCTGCTGACTAGTTCCTGGTTCTAGAAGTTACTGTAATTCCAAATTTCTCCAACCATGGCTTCAGAGTCTGGTTTCTTGATTATACCTAGAAGAAAAACTAACTTACTTTTATTGCTATGAACCAGGCTCTTGCTATAAAGGTTAATATGATTTAAAAATGTATTTGTGTGGTAAATAACAGTCTTCATTTACAGTTTCAAAAACTAGGGAGTTGTGGAGGAATTTGTAGTGGACATTAACTACTGTCTATAAAGCATTGTGCAGACACTCATCACTGGTGATTCCTGACCTCTATGCCACACACATACATGATAATATCTATATGGCGCATTTGGGTAAATGGCCTAAGATAGAGATCATGCCACCAGGCAGCCCTGAGGGCTGGAGGAACAATATTTCTGTAACTTAGTCACAAGACACTGGTTGGGAAACTGCTATACATACTATCTCAGTCAGTCTTCACAACAGCTTTGTGAGGTAAGTATTCTTAGTCTCCATTTTCTAGAAAGGGAACCTGAGGCTCAGCAATAATTTGAGTAGCATTGTCTGTGGTTACATAGCCAGTAAATGAGAGAAATTGAACAGTCAACTCTGAAGGACTTGCTTTTTTTTTTTTAAATTTATTTACTTACACATACACAACCTGGGGTACAGGCCAGAGCTGGGGGGGTGAGATGATTCACTGAAGATAGAGTGGGGAACAGAACAAGCAGATGTACTGAAATACACTGCTGAGGGGAGCAACGGATGGGTCAGGAGACCCATGTGGGTCACCTCCTTGGCCAGGGATCAAACTTATACTGCGATAGCTTCATAGTGCAGTGCTTTAACCCGTCGCGCCATCAGGGAGGGCCAGGACTTGCTTTTACTGCTTTTAAACTCACCCCCAGCATCTGAAACTTTAGCAGATATAAAATTTTTAAAAAATGACCCTTTGTTAAGTGGTACACTTTCTACCAAACCAATCTTCTTTCTTTCTAGCTTCATGATTTTAAACAACAGAAGCAAGTAACTTAGAATTGAGCCACAATCCTGGATGGTATTTCACACTCTGCCATCTCCTTGTGGCACAGAGTTCTAGATCTCCCAGATGACTTCTTGAGAAGTCTGCTTTGGCCTAATGCTCTTTCAGCAGCCTTTGGCGCAGCCATAAATAGTAAACTTAAATATTAATGGCAGAGATTTGGCAAATACTCCAAGTCAAGCAGCAAACCACTTAGTATAGCTCTTAGGGCCTTCTCCATGTGGGGATCTATGCTCAGGGAATGACCTCAGGAAATTCAAAATTGCAGAGTCATAATATTTACAGCTTAGGGCCCTAAAGTTATTTATTTACACTTAATTTTTTCTCAGTGTGTTGATAAGGCGGGTGAGAAACTCAGTCCTTTGTTGGCTGAGTTAAAAAAAAAAAAAAAAAAAAAAACAAACCACCACCTAGTAAGTGATGCAATGTGGACTTTTATAAACTCCACTCTGTCTCCTTGGCACAACCATCCTTCCCCAGAAAAATATGCTACAGTGCTTCCTCCCACTGTGCCACTTAGTAAATCATTCAAATGGATCTTAGATTAGAGTTGGTTCTTTTTTCTTGGCTCTTGTTTTCTAGAGGTGAGGCATGGTTGTCAGCTACGCCTTGTCTTTGTCTCCTGGCTACAGTTTCAAATAAAATATCAGAAATGGTTTAAAGTTTCATCTAGTTCTTTTCAACACATTGAAACCCTCGGTGTTCCATAAATCCATGTGCTGGTCCCATTCCTAAAAAACTCATTCTATTCCCTTCCCCCACACCACCCCCACCCCCAAGAACTTTTCCTCAGTCACTCTGGGTGACTTTGAAAAAGCAGGGTACAACTTCATCTGTGATTTGTTTAGGCTGATTTTCAAAAGACTAACAGATGCTTTATAGAAGCCAGGTTCCTTGAAAGGTCTTGTTTAGCCTCTGCAGCAGCTTTTCAACAGTCATAAACCACATTATATTTTCCGTTATTTCTCAGCAACCCTGGAAGGCAACTTAGTCTTGGTTCCTTTACAGGTGAGGAAGCAGACATAGTATGAAAGACATGTACTCAGTTGGGACAGAGCTAGTTAGGGTAGAATGAAGAAATGCACATCTCGTTTGCTGGTCCATAAAACTAAGTGGAATCATTTGAGTTATGTGTTATGCTGATGAAATGGCATAGTCTTCATTTATCTCTGACATTGGGTTCTGGGGAGTTGGAAGGTTAATTGACCATTAATGTTCATAACTAGGATGCATGTCATGCTTTTTAGGAAATAACTCAACAGTATTCTCTCTCACCAAGAGAAACCCATGTACCAGACTAAGCTGCAACCCCACCGAAAGTATTAGGTTGTCTTTTTCTTCAAGGACACATTCTTTCATGTCTGTTCTCTTGTTTTCTTTTTTAATAGTTCTATGAAATAAGTAGAATCACTTGTGTTCTCCCATTTTATAGATGAGTAGGTGAGAAAAAAAGTGATCCTAAAATAGTGGTCCTGGTTTTAAAAAAAATAAAGTTACAAAACAGGAGTCTTGACAGTTCTCAATGGTGACACTATTCTGTGTAACACTTTCTGTGAAAGCACAAAAATTTCCAAACAAAAACAAGATTAGAAGTAGCCAAACACTTGGGGGGGGGAGGGGCAATAGTGAGGACTTGGTGACATAAAGGGAGAGGGGAGGATGTGTAGAAACACTTGCAGACTCTGAAACAGCTTTCTGTTTGGTTTATAGCCTGAAATCATCCTTTCATTTTAAATAATGTCGAGACACTGTACATTTTATGTAGTATTTGTCCTACTAAATGTCAATACCTCCATCACTGTTCTCCTGTGAGGGAGGAATTGACCAAAAGACGGCATTTTGTGGTTCATATTTTTAGACATTTATATCATGGTCTTAGAGAATCCAGACTTTGGGGTGAACACCAACCATAGTGGAGAGGCGGCAGCAGCCGAAAGACATCTGTGTCTATCTGCTTCCCTTTTTGCTTTACCTTAAGTGCATGAGAAAATGAATTGTGTACTCAGATTCCTAGTAAGCATAAACAGATTGGTCTGGTCTTAAACAAGGCTCAAGAATCTTTGCAGATCCTCTTGAATATAAGCAACAATATAGCTTTTTTAACCTTTATTCTATATTTTTTTGCAGAAACAAGCCAGAAGCAGTAGAAGTAACATTTGCAGGTAAGTATCTTAACCTCAACCCTGTTAAGAGAAGCACAGTATGAAAAAATTGAAAACAGAATTGCTTCTAAAATAGGCCTTTCTTTACATTTTGGGGACTCTTTTTATGGTCAAATTTTTCTGAGGTCTTTATTTTAGGTGATTGATTTGGTGAATTATGTAAAGTTACTTGCTCGATGGATTAAGACATTGAGTTTAATTTTGTAATACATACTGAAGCTTCTTAAATTTAGAAACAGTATTATCATTATCTCTTTTTTTTTTTTTTTTTTTTTTTTTTAGAAATGTAAAAACTAAATTTATTAAAGTAACTGGCCAGGGAATACTTAACTATTCCAAGAACAACCTACCAATTTGTGTATTGTGTATTATCTTAAAGTAGACTGCATCATAGTTTGCCTAGCACTAGAGTATTGGGGAGATGTGAAAGTGCTAGAAATGTGGCAACAAGTCAGAGATGTTACTGACTTGTGTTTCCTATAAAGAATCAGGTATTGGGGGCTTCCTTGGTGGCACAAGGGGTTAAGTCTCAGCTCTATAAAGTAATCTGCAGGCACTACAGCATGAGTTTAAACCCCAGGCAGGGAGCTGACCCATATGGCGCAGCAGACCTCTCCTGTTTCACCTGCTGCTGCTCTCAGCAGTATAATTTGGTCAGTCTGATTGTTCTGTTCCCCACTCTGTCTCTGAATCCTCTCACTCCCACCGCACCCCTGGCCTGTACCCCTGTTTAAAATGAGGGTGCTCAGGCCCTCTCTGGTGGCACAGCAGGTTAAAGCACAGCACTAAGAAGCCAAAGCTACTTTCGCATGAGTTCAATCCCCGCCCCAAAGGTGATCCACATGGCACGGCAGACTTCTTCTGTCCTGGCCTGCCTGCTGCTCCCCTCAGCAGTGTACTCCATTGATCTGCCTATTCTGCTCCCCATTCTGTCTCTGGTGAATCCTCTCACCGCCCCTGCACCTCTGTCCTGTACCCCAGTTCTGTATGCACAAATAAATCTTTAAAAAAAAAAATGAGGGTGCTCACCTAGATGAGCTTGGAAGCATTTTTGCAACTCTGAAGTACTCTGACTTGTAGGCTGGCATCTTCCTCACTTCCACCTTCTAACAAGCAGTTTCAGCTTCCAGGTGACGGCACCGGGCAACTAGGTTCAAGAACTAAGAGGGTTGGTTTTCTGAATGGCAAGAAGATAGCAGCCAAAGATGGGGAGGTCTGTGGGTTAGCAGGAACATAAGAGAGAGGCTAAATTAATTGTGTGGGCCTCGTTTAGAGCTTAACTCAAACAAGACAATAATATTTTAGGAGTATCTTTTTTGGGACAGAGCATTTGAGCTCTTGACTGGATGACTAATACTGTTTAAATTTGGGGGTCATGACAATGGTACTATAGTTAGTTCTTCTATTAAGTCTTCAGGAGATACATTCTGAAATGTTTATGGTTGAACTAATGGGATGTCTGGGGTTGGCTTTAGAATTAGCCAATGGGAGAGGATATGTCAAAATGAAAGACTGACAATGTGTTAATTGTTAAAGCCACATCTTGGGAACAGGCTGATTATTCTGTTTGCTTACTTTTATACATGTTTAAGCTGCCTCACAGGGAAAGTTTAAAAAAAAAATCTTTCAGCACCAAGCTGTGATTAAGGTAAGAATGACATAATTTTAGCGGATAGTTACTCTTCGGCTTTGTCCCAGTGTTTCTGCCGACTTCCCATACGGATATAAAATAAAAGTCATTTCACTTGTGTGCCATCCTCTAATAGAGGCTTTCTTGTGGCCTGCACTTTGAGACATTATTTTCCATTCCTAGGTTAAGCCATTTTGCTTGCTTTCCTCATAGATTTCGATGGGGTCCTCTATCATATTTCAAATCCTAATGGAGACAAAACAAAAGTGATGGTCAGTATTTCTTTGAAATTCTACAAAGAACTTCAGGCACATGGTGCTGATGAGGTAAGATGCACATCATTTTCTTTGGGACTTTTGTTTCCTGCTCCCCTTTTATTGTCAGATTGATAGAGATCCAGGGTGCTGCACCATGCATACACACGTGTATACCCCAGCACTTACCTCTCTGGACAGCTTACTCACCTAGGCAGGAGCTCTTGACTCTTGTTTCCCATCATGTCATGCAGAAGGGAGTTTCTCAGAAAACTTTTGGCTCTTTGTGTACTTGCTTTTTACTCTGAAGAAAGAAAGGTATTTCCTGGTCAATTAAAACAAAAACCACCTTAGTTCTCAAAAAGTACCCTAAGGGATACATTCTCTAACCAATAAATACAGCAGTAGGTATAGCAGGAATGAGATGGGTTATGCTATATTTCTATAACGTTGTCAAATGGATATGTAAATTGGGTGGCCAATTTGAAGTTTTTAATCTTAATTTCTCATTCATGAAATGTATGCACAAATCTTCCCTTTAGAGTGTCTTAATTTGATGTTCTTTAGAGTTGGACTCTCTCAAGAACTTAGGACTTCTTCCTTACGACTACCTCAGGAGAAATAAGACACTCTTGATGGCCATGCCTAATTCACTGACTTCTTTCAATAGCTAAAGTAGCAGGTTTGGTTCCTGTTGAACTATATTTGCTCTGAGGAGAACCATTTATGGAAGAAAGAAAATGCAATTACACCAGTGTGCGCACGTTGTGGTTGGGTCTCAAAGCAGGAAGTATGACTCAGTTCCTGAATCAGTTTTCAAATATCTTTTAGTTTTAGCAAACTAGGTTCTCCTTAATTGGGTGAATGAAGATCCAGCCATTCTATTTTCTTTCTGATTTAAGAGTCACAGCTTTTGAAGCTATTTATATAAAAATAGCTTATAAAAAAACTAATTAAAAAGCTGTTTGTAAAAGAATATATCAAAATCTCAATTTTTAGTAGAAAAATTAAAATTGCTGTTAATCAGACAGAATATCTAGATACAGCAAATAGTAATCATTGAAGGGAAAGTGTTAAGCTTTCTTAAATCTCTTTCCAGAATGTGCTTTCCTTATAATGGCATTCCAGAACACATTGCTATTCTTATAGCTACTGCACAGGTCAAAGAACCAACCCCACCCACTCGAGTGGGTGGAGTGAATAACATTTATAGTGTTAGAGCAGAGTGCACAGTAAATGGCTCCCTAGGTTGGTTAAACAATGACTTGCCAGGTTTTAACCACAGGAAGCTTGATACTTTGTCACAGACCATTTTTCAAGCCAGAAAGCCTCTGCTATTAGGGTGGGAGGTTCTGATGGTGTCGAATGATGGGTTACCTCCATTCCTGGTGTCAGGATGGAAGAGGGGGTGCACATTGAAAAGTGAATCATGGTTAAAAGTGCAAGTGAAATGATCAGGGATGCGTTGACTGGTTTTGCCATGGATGAATATGCATTGACTGGTTTTGCCATGGGTGAATGAAGGAAATGAATGTGATACAAATTTGGCTGAAAGACTCTCTTTGATCTCAACATATTAACTTAGTTATTTCAGAATTTATTAGATATCTTGTTTCTTCCACTTCTGACTACCCCTTCCTCTATTTATCAGTAGCATGCACAGTACAGAATTATAGCTGAGAGGTATCAAGCTGGTTAAAATTCTCATGTGGTGGATGGAGCTGGAAAAGATCATGCTTAGTGATATAAGCCAGAAAGAAAAGGAAAAACACCGATGGTTTCACTCATAGCAGGAGTATAATGGACCAGGCAAGAAAATAATAATAATAATGAACAGCTATATACCAAAGACATTTTATGGGGGTGGAGTGGGGGATGGGATCAGAAACAGTGGGGGGAGGGAAATGCACTGGACTATAGTGATGGCACATGGGTGATTTGGTGATGGGAAACCCAAGGGGATTGCAACTGAGATGGAAAAATGCACAAAATGATGTAAAAATAAACTATTTTATATATATATATAAATTTTTTTTAATACTCATGTGGTATAGATGTGACTTTTGCCCCCATAACTCTTTCGAAGAAGTGGTGTAACACCTGAAGGTCAAGTCTTTCTTTGCTACTAAAAGACTCTGACCTGGAAACACTCCCTTTGGTTCCTTGTCTATAAAAGATAACTTGCAGTGACTGTATGGTCACCAAATAGGAACTTCATGTGGCATTACTTTGCCTTTACATAAACAGGTGTGATCACCAACTCATGCTTGAAGGGCCACTCGTACAAGTTTTGCAGATTGAGGATTTTTTTCAGCTATAAGAAAATGGTTAAATATGTAGAATATGTAAAAATGGGAGAGGAAGGAGAAATGAACCTCACTATATGATAATTTTTTCAAATGGATCAAGAAACATATGATTTTCTCCTGATTTTTAAAAAGTTTAATATCTAGAGAGTACAGTGAAAACAAAATTAGAAGGAATACAGCGACACTCAGTTACATACTCCATGTCCCTGTGCAAGTGTATGGGCACTGGGAAAGCTCAAGATGGCGTTCCTGCTCGCAGGGCTTCCCTCTGGTGCTGCCTGTGGCCATAGTGGTTTTCACTGGCTAGTGGGATTCTTCAGAAGATACATGTATAACTTACCTTAACTTACAGTTAAGGTAGGTTTGTAGCTTTGTTCAGTTTTGATCTGGTAACTGGTCATCGATTAGTCTTTGTTTTGTTATCCCAGAAAATACAAGAGGGTCATTATTGTGTTTATGGTAAGGTGGTGTTAGAGGGTAACTAGCAGCCTGTTACACTACTATGGCTTAGTATATTGACATCAGTTTTACCCTCTTACAGAATAGTGATGATACTTTTACTCCGTAATTAGTAGTTTTTAATGAGAGTTTGGAAGCCTCTTAAACATTTGCCTCTTAAACATTTGACTACTGAACAATGAGGGAGTTATTCGATTGCTAGTGGTTTTAATATTTACTTTATTTCCATTTTCAAATAGCTGCCTTTCTGCTGCTTATGTTTCCCATATAACATTTAACTCAGAAATATTTCTTGCAAAATAAAAATGAAGTTTTGTCTTAAACCATGTCTGCCTAGGAGTAATTGGGCTGTTGTTTATCATTTTGCTTCAGAAAGCTAGAGAGTGACCAGGAAGTATTCAATTTCCTCATGTCTTTTGCCTTTTAAATGGTGGTGATGAGCTAAATAATTTTAAAGCATAAAAGATGAGCAGGCCAACTGGAACAGTATCCACCAATCCTAGATTTATCTCTTCATTCACCTAGGTTGGTTGTCAGGCCTGTAACTTTGTTGATAACCAAGATAATTTGGTTCTAATCTTGAGTTTCGTATCCTCTCCAGAAAGTAAAGATGATAATGTGCCTGTATGGTATGGAAGTGAACAGAGAACATATATGAAGGATGTGACCAAGTCCTAGAGGATGAGCCTTGATTGGCAGTAATGCTGGTCTTTTGTTTAACCTCAGTTCTGTGGGCAACTTGCTCAGTAGCTCAAAATCTGCTTCCCCCTCAACCTAGTACCCCAGCCACACAGTGAGAGTTGGGAAAAATGCTAGCTCGGGGAGCTTGGCAAGTACAGTACTTTAAAAATAATGAAATTATCTTGGCCTTTGGTCTGACATGTTTCTTTTTGTATTTTCTAGTTATTAAAGAGAGTGTACGGAAGCTTCTTGGTGAACCCAGAGTCAGGTATGTAGTAATGTGAGTGTCTGCAGTAATGTGGAAAGAGACCAGTTCTGTTTGAACTATGCTTTTTTAGCCAAAGGATTTTATTTAGCTATTCACTTTATAAATATTTCTGCACAAACCAAATCCTCACTTCAACTCTCTCCATAAAAATAACTTTTGGGCCCTCCCTGGTGGTGCAGCAGGTTAAAGCACAGCACTAAGAAGCTAAAGCCTCTTCAGCATGAGTTTGATTCCCGCTCTGGAAGTGATCCCACATGGCACGGCAGACCTCTCCTGACCCGCCCACTGCTCCCCTCAGCAGTGTACTTCGTCGTCTGCCTGTTCTGCTCCCCACTCTCGAACTCATGCAGAAGTGGCTTAAGCTTCTTAGTGCTGTGCTTTAACTTGCTTGCCACCCTAGAGGGCTGAGAATTGTGTCATTTTAACGTTTACTTAATGAGACCAAGTTAACTGCTCTTGAATCTCTCAGAGATTAATCTCTCCTTAATCTCTTTGTTTGTGATTATTAAAATGCTTTTCGAGAAGACTAAACAAATATTAATAAGTGAACTCTGCCTCCTTCAAGACCAGAGAAATTAAAAAACATCATGACCATCCTTGACTAGAACAGCTTTGTTAAGTAACTTTAAATAAAGGTTAAAGTAGAAAAAAAAAACCAAAACAATGTTTTTATCCTTATGCTTAGTGGTAGTTTTAAATTCTGAGGCATTTAGCCAGGCCTTATAGTGAGGAGTAAGCAGTAAGACCATTTGAGCATATTCTTTGTTCCTCTGGTATTATTACTCTGGTACTTTGATTAGCCAATTGTTCTAAAGAAGGTACATCTGTCTTTTTTTTTTGGTCTTTTTTTTTTCTTTTTTATTTATTTATGCATACAAGAACTGGGGTATAGGCCAGAGGTGCGGAGGGATGAGGGATGTGAGGATTCACCAACGACAGTGTTGGAGCAGAACAGGCAGATCCATTGAAATACATTGCTAAGGGGAGCAGTGAGCAAGACAGGAGAGGTCTGCTGTGCCATATGGGTCCCCTCCCTGGCTGGCCAGAGATTGAACTCATGCTGTAGTGACTGGTAGTAGCTCAACAACATTGTGTCTTTAACACCTCGCCCCCAGGGAGGCCCCTCTGTCTCGTTTTCTTAACAGCAGTTACTTTAGCTAGCCTGTCTCCCCACCCCACCCCCATTATTTGACTACGTTTCTACATGACACTGCCTCCCCATCTACAATGTGCTGCTTCAAGAAACAACATCTCAGAGGTGCCTTTGGAATATAACTTGTGTCTAGGGATATTTGCGCCATGGGGCATTTTGACTGTGATCCATAAAGAATACTGAAATTTGTTGAACCTCAGATTGGTGGCACAGATCTTACCACAGAAATAAAAACCAAAAGATAAGTGATGGTGTATACTTTAAGAGGAATGAGGCAGTTTCAGGAAGAAAAAGAGCAAGATGAGAAAAACAGCTAGAACCAAAAATCACCCAGGAACTTTTAGGCTGGCTTATCATAGCTCAGAACCTAAAATCTATGAGAACAAGTAGAGTATCACATGGAGAGCTTCTGTTTCCATGTCTGGGCCTTCTCCACTTCCTGCTAAAGAATTTGTCACAATATAGTCTCTGTTCATACTAATCTAAAGTATAAAAAAGATGTACAAGTAAGGCCTTCCTCCTCCTTTTCATGGGTTTATCCAGACAACTTTGGAAAACTCACCATCCATTCTGGATTCTTGCTTTTTCTCATCCTCAGTGTAGTCTCATCATAAGTATTACTTAAGGTCTAACTTTAGCAGTAGTTTTATTTAGTTTGTTGTATTTGGCTTCTTAAATTAGCAAACCTTAGCAGTAAATATTTTTTATATAAACTTCTTGTAGTCTACATGTCTGGTTTTCAGGTACCCAAAAATGGATTGATGATTGATAGTATTTCATATTGGAGTGCCAGGAATGTGCTAGCCACTATCTAGAAGAGAGATTTAGACAGTCTGTGCTCAGTGAGGACAGATGGACAAAAAACATCAACTTCTAGAATGCTCTTGGGGAAAAATTATATAGTAACAAAGTGTAAAGGTTTAAGATACTGGGAAATGTGAAACCTGTACATTTCTAGAAAATCATTCCCATCAGATAACTAGAATATGAAATAGTCTTCAATGGTATACAGACGTTCTTGCAAAATCACCTATAGACTTTTCAGCACTTTCTTGTTAATTATGTAGTCAAGTGTTGCAGCCTTGTTTGCTGGATCCCCAATAGACACGCTGAGGCTACAGCATAGTATAGTAGTCAGACTGGGACTTCCGTCTCTGTTCTCCCTCACTTATTGCTGAACTGCTATGTTCCAGGCACTTTAATTACTGTATATTCTTTTAATTCTTACTGTAGTCTCCCCTCTCTCAGTACCCCATTTTTAGCAGAAGTGGAAACTATGGAGATTAGGCAGCTTGTCTAAGGTGACACTGTGTCAAGACCAGGGTTCAGGCCCAGTTCAAAGAGTTGCTCTCTTGTCATGCTGCATTTGGCAAGGCACTTCACTTTGAACTTTTTTCTTCTAAAATGAGAATGACTTTATTTGGCCTGCCTCTTTCAAAGAATTCCCAATGGGAATCAAATAAAGTGAAATATTTTTAAATTTGACAATCTTGCAAGTATATACAAGTAAAAGCTACTGTGGGGATTGTGTGTGTGTGTGGTTGGTTAGTTATTTTATTTTAGGGTTTGGTATATATCCTGCCTCCTCCCACAGACAACTTGTGTAGGCTTATTGGGGAGAATCTTTTTTTTTTTTTCCTTAAATAGCAAAAGGCAGCCAATCATGCTGGCATTAAATCATCAGAGCAAATACATAGTTTATATTATAGCTTGGTAGTATATACAGCCCTTCACAACTGTCTCTGGAACAGTAGATTTTTAACAAAGTCCTTAGATCATCATTTCCTCCTATTCTTTATTGGTAATCAGTCATCTTTTGATATTGATTCAAATTTTTTTATTTGTATTTTAGAGAATTTTATTTCTCCTTATTTGCTCTATGAAGTAGATAGAAATGGAAAGTATTCTACCTGGGTTAAAAGTATAGTCACTTTGAAAAAGATACTTGTACCCCCATGTTTATTGCTGCTTTATTTACAATTGGAAAAACATGGAAGCAGCCCAAATGCCCAAAAGTAGATGACTGGATTGGAAAGATGTGGTACATATATACAATGGAATATTACTCAGCAACCAAAAAAGAGAAACACATGTCTTTTGCAGCAACTTGGATGGAGCTGGAAAAGATCATGCTGAGTGAGATAAGCCAGAAAGAGAAAGAAAAATACCGGATGGTTTCACTCATAGCAGGAGTATAATGGACCAGGCGAGAAAATAACAAAAATAATGAACAACCATAGACAGAGACATTCTGTGGGGGTGGAGTGGGGAATGGGATCAAAAACAGGGGGGGGGGGGAAGGGAGGGAAATGCACGGGACTATGGTGGTGGCACAGGGGTGATTTGGTGATGGGAAACCCGTGGGGATTACAATTGAGATGAAAAAAAATGTGCAAAATGATGTAAAAATAAACTTTTTAATAAAAAAAAATTAAAAAAAATTAGCAGACTTAAAAAAAAAAAAAGTATAGTCACTGAGGGCCCTCCCTGGTGTGCAGTGGGTAAGGACACAAGACTGCAAGCTAGCTGCAGCTGCCTCAGTGCGAATTCGATCCCTTGCCCCGGAGGTGACACACAGGGTGTAGCAGATCTCTCCTGACCTGCCTTCTGCTCCCCTCAGCAGTGCACTTCCTCATTCTGCATGTTCTGCTCCCCCACTCAGTCTCTGGTGAATCCTCTCATCGCCCCTGCACCTCTGGCTTGTATCCCATTTCTGTATGCATAAATAAATAAAAACCTTTAAAAAAGAGAGAAAGCTATAAAGCAAGCAACAAGCAACTAATTTAAAATATATATATATAGTTACTGAGACAAAATGTCACTAGAGCATGAAAGTTTGGTTGGTTGGTTTGTTCGTTTATTACCTCTGTTAGTGTGGCGAAATAAGTAAACTTTTCCTTAAAATAATGCTGGGTGTTTTTGTTTTTCCCCTCCAGGATACAATGTCTCTTTGCTGTATGACCTTGAAAATCTGCCTGCGTCCAAGGATTCCATTGTACATCAGGCTGGCATGTTGAAACGAAATTGTTTTGCCTCTGTCTTTGAAAAGTACTTCCAATTCCAAGAAGAAGGCAAGGAAGGAGAAAATAGAGCAGTTATCCATTATAGGGATGATGAGACCATGTAAGTAAAAACTTTGGTCCTGGAGTCAAAGTGTGGCTATCACAAACATTGAAAGCCACAGCGAGGTGAAAATGTAAACTTCTGTGTGAAATCCCACTGAAGTGTTTTTTCTCATGAACTTCATTAAGCCAGGATGTAGATGATGGGGGTAGGAGACTTCTAGTCTTCAGATACTGAAAGTTGGCAAAAGATGAAAAAAGAATCCAGTGCTTTCCTTTTAGGCATCACTATTCTAAGTCCCCTTCAATAATAGAGCCTGGGTAAACAGGAAGCAGGGGGTAACCAATAGGTTCTGTGTTACCACGACTCTTAAATCATTTACATGCTGTAAAGCTCATAGTATATAAAGAAAAGTACTTTAAAGTACTAAATCACATCATACCGTATAGACAAGTTAACATTTATTTTCTGTCATTTTCAGCACCTGCCCACTTGGGGCATGTGTTTATTACATTGATTTTGTTGACCATAAACAATCCCACCTGGCATACCTTGTTTTATAGATTAAGTCTTTAAGACTTTACCCTCCTATCTCTCTTGTAGACCACATTCTTGACAATCCTGTCCGGTCCTGTACTTAATCTCATGAGTTTTGTTTCCCTTAGGTATGTTGAGTCTAAAAAGGACAGAGTCACGGTAGTCTTCAGCACAGTCTTTAAGGATGATGATGACGTGGTCATTGGGAAGGTGTTCATGCAGGTATGGAGCATACAGCTGGGAGGGAAACTAAGGGATGCTGATTAATTTATACCTTGCCACCAGAACACTCAGTAAACATGGGAAAGAGATCTAGCAGCTCTGTTGATGCTGGAACTTATTGAAGATTTAATTAAATAGCCCCCACCAAAATCTCTAAATTTGCGGGCCTGGACTAGAGGATAAATTAGGATTAAATGAGTAACAGTAGAAGCTGTAAGCATCTTTCCTCCCAGGGTGTCTTTGACTTAAAGCTTGATCACACTTCCCGCCCTCTCATGTTTCCTTGAGTTTTCTAGCAGGATCTTCTCTTGACTTGATTTAATCCAAAAGTTTTTTCAGAATAGAATCTGTAGAAACTTCAAGTAATAGAGTTACTGATGGTGGAGAAAAATGGGCCTAAATCTTCACTGGACCTAAATTTCATTCACTAAAATACCTCCCTCAGAAAAAGTTTTTCTAAGAAGAGATGGGTTTAATTGTACGTTTTATGATTGAATTTTTGGTACAGTTGGACTCAAATCTGATATTATACATGCATCGTGGTTTTGCCACACTGTCTGCTAAGCACTTGCTAGCTCTGGAACATGAGAACCCTTTGGTCAAGCTGTATCCAGGCTGGTTTCTTCTGAGATCACTCAGCATTCTATCTGTAGTACAGTTAAATTTAAAAAAAGGAAAAACTTTGTACATCCATTTTACTACTTGACAGAGTGGTAAGATTAAGGAATTCTAGAACAGAATCTTTTTTTGCCAAATAAGAGTTGCAAGAAAGCTGTGTTTAATGTAGTTATTTTCTGGGTCGCCTTTCAACCAGACTGGGGGAATTTTCAAAAATTATACCCTTATTTGAATCCATCTGTAGTGGCTTTTGTGTTGAACTAATTCATCAAACTAACTTCAGTGTTCTCCTATACAGAAGTTAGAATATACACACTTCGAGCACTTTAGTGTAAAATTTTATGGAGAGAGTATGTGTGTGTGGACACACACACTTGGGTCCTTAATAAAAATCTCTGAACGGCATTTCATCTGTTTGTTTCTTTCCCCTAAAATTGACATGGGAATTAAATGCAGTAGTTCAGAAATTGGGTTGAATCCAGACTGATGAACTAATTTTAAATGCTACGAAATATATATTTAGACTTAGCTGGCTTTTTACCAGTCTTGTTCCATTTTATTCCAAGTGATATTTTAATACTTTAAGTAGATCATATCTTGGGAGAGATTACTGGAGATTTGTTCCTAAGAGAATTTAAGCTCTCAGAGTACACATGGTAAGGCACTTATCTAAAAGGGAAATCAAAAATCTCTCTGCATTTTTTGCACCTACATATATACAGATAGAGACTGGCCTGGCACTGTGAAGGCCCATATGGTGTCTAGGGATGTAAAAGGCTGTGTTCAGGAAGCCATCTGCCCTGCCTCCACCTCCAAATTCAAAGCCTGGATTATTGGAAATGACCATAGAAACCTGAACTTACTTTCCAGTGTTTTCCCCCCAAAAAATAAATCGTCTTTGCATTTCCCTAGGCCTAGTTATTTTAAATTTGTAGGAGAAAGGAGAGTAGTGGAGTCTTAACACAGAAACTTGGGACTTGGGAAGTGCCTCATGGTCTCTGAGCTGCTTGCTGTGGGCCTTAGGTTTTCCCAGGACAGCGTGCACACCTGGTTGGAGCATGCCTCCCGCTTTTGGCTGCATTATGGTGACGCAGGTGAGCTGAGCACTAGCGAAGGGCTAGTAGATGTCACTTTTAACACTAAAATAGGAAAAGCAAGAGGAACAACAGTTATAATTTTGGAAATTAGCATTATTTTCATATGTAAGAACTTACATTCAGTGCAGTAACTAAGAAAAGTTAAGCAGAAGCCACTGGTTCTATATGTTCAAGGACCAGACGCAGAATGTCGCTTAGGCAATTGTGAAGGTGTAACTCTGAGGACCCTCTGCCAATAAATGTGTGTAGTTAGGTCTCTAGGGTGTTTTCCTGAACTGGGAACTCTGAAACAAAGCCCATAACTTTCTTTGTAGATTTTGCTGTCCTCCATAAAAGTTGTACCAGTTTCTCTCCTAAGTATTGCATAAAAGAGTCCATCTCCCCCAAAGTATGTTGCTACACATTTGGATTTCTGCCTGTCTGAATGCTTAAAAATAGTATTTACAGGCCCTCCCTGGTGGTGCAGGGGTTAAAGACACAGTGCTGTCAAGCTACTGCTGACCAGTAGTTTAATGAGTTTGATCACTGCTGGCCCACACAGCGCAGGAGTCTTCTGTTGCCCACTGCTCCCCTCAGCAGAGTATTTCAGTAGATCTGCCTGTTCGGGGGGGTGTGTGTGTGTACTTTATTTATTTGTGCATATAAGAGTTGGGGTGTAGGCCAGACAGAGGCAGAGTGGGGAACAGAACAGACAGATCTACTAAAAACCAGTAGTCTGTTGTTGACAAGGTCTTAAATATATTATTTTCCTTATACAGAATTAATTAAATGCTAAGTCCCTGAAGGTTCACAGCCATCTGGTTGGGAATGCCACATGTACCAGTGCATGGAATCTTGTTTACTAAACTCAAGAAAATCAGTTATTACCTGCTCTCTTTGATCCCTGGGGCTAAAGCATGAAATCTGATAGAAATTAGAAAACTTGTATCCCTTAGCAGAATAAAAAGTGTTTCTGGAGAAGGGCATTCTCAGAAGCTTTGCTTTAAGAATTTCCATTTGGAATGATCTTGGCTCCTTCCATGCCTCTCCAAATATTCTTCCTTCAAGGAACAAAATGTGTTAGGGAGCTAATCTAACCCAACTATGTCAATGTGTTTTCCACCAACCATTAGGAGCCAGGCATTGCTAGCCTCAGAGGCGGAGTGGTAAAGCAGGCAAGATCCGAGACAGGCATGAGAACTGTTAATCTTCCTTTGCCCTGAATTTGTAGAAGGCTTGTAGATCAGTGTTTATTCTTCAAACTGCAAATGGAAACACAGTCCCTGCCCTCTCTCAGTGTGAAGTCGGCTGGTGGAAGTGCTGTCATTCAGCAAGCCATTTGCTAAACAGCCTTTTTCAAGGACAGAGGTGAATAAAGCAGGATCCTTGAGTTCAGGAACTCAGCCTGGTAAGGAACAGAAGTTTATAGAAAAGATGTGAGAATTCCCGAACAAATGGCAGCAGCTAGCCTGGGCCTTTGGAGATGGTGTGACAGAAGAGGTCATGTGTGAGCCGTAGCACAGCCTGCAGCTCAGCAGCTGCCAGTGAGCCTTCAGCACTTGTAGAATTCAGGCCTTGGAGAGCCCTGGGTGCCATCCTCTTCCCTCCCTTAGTGGGCTCGGCTCATCCAGTTTTACCTGCATTACTGGAAACTCTGGGTCTGTTCTTGCAGCTCTGGGTTGAGAGGATGCCTTGTATCACTTGCTGTTTTCCCAGGAATATATAGATTTTTTTTAAAAGCTTGAGATTGGGAGACTCGGAATGGCCTGGTGTTGACATCTATAGTCAATTAATCTGTATTTTGATGGAGATGAGTACACTTTCCTAAGGGTAATGAGCTCTTACGGCAGAGTGATGGTTTTTAGTACAGCGCCATTCAAGAACCAGAATTAAAATTCAGGCTTTGGGCCCTCCCTGGTAGCACAGTGGGTTAAAGCACAGCACTAAGAAGCTAAAGCCACTTCATTATAAGTTCGATCCCTGCCCCCGAGGTGACCCACATGCCCACATGGGCGCGTCAGACCTCTCCTGACCCACCCGCTGCTCCCCTCAGCAGTGTAATTCATCAGTCCGACTGTTCTGCTTCCACTCTGTCTCTGGTAAATCCTATGAGCCCCCCTCTACCACCCCTATACCTCTGGCCTGTACCCCAGTTCTGTATAAATAAATAAATCTTAAAAAAATTCAGGCTTTAAGTTCTTATGTCATAAGTTCCCTTTCTCTTAATGAACACTAAGACTACTTCTTTAACTGTTGTCTTCTGCTGCCAGAGGTCTTAAATGTAGTCTAAAGCTCTCATTGATGGATTCTAAGCAGTAAAGAATAAGATACCTCAGTGAACCAAGACTTGTACAAAGGCTGGGAGCCCAGCATGGTGTTCATGAAACTGGAAGAAGAGGGGGTTGGGTATGAAAAAATAACCAACAAGGGGCTTTATATGCAAAAATAGGAATTGGGGCTTCCCTGGTGGCACAGGGGTAAATCTTAGCACTATCAAGCTACCGCTAGCCAGCCCAGCCACTGTGGGCATGAGTGTGATCCCCGGCCAGGGAGCTGACCCACATGGCACCGCAGATCTCTCCTGTGTCACCCACTGGTCCCCTCACCACTACAGTTCAGTAGGTCCACCTGTTGTCTGCTCCCCACTATCTGTGGTGAATCATCTCACACCTCTGGTCTACTAAATAAATAAATCTATAAAAACAAATACCACAGGGATTACAACTGAGATGAAGAAATGAACAGAATTAAGACTTCATCTTGAAGTCTTAACCAAGCTAAAGCTTGGTTTCCATTCATCCAGAATTTTAAAGACTTTCTGAAAAATACAGCCTCATGTCAAATTAAAAGGAACTAATAAGCAGTTCCTTACCCTAAATGTAATCTGGTTCTCCTAGTGCTTTTGCAGGGTTGTCTGTTTAATCGCTGGTGTATTTTATCACCTGTGTTCTAAAACAAGCGAAAGGAAGTTCACTCATGGTGCCTTTCATCACATTTTGAACATTGGACTTGTTTAGTGCTCAGTGGGCACTCCTTTCTGAAATTGAAGTGCACTGATGGCAACCAGCATTTGTGATGCATCCTGTTAAGTATAGTCTATCCTTCGCCATCTGCTGCTCTAGAGGATTAAAGGGGTCACTCCCCGTAGGGCAAGCCTCAACAGACAGTTGCCACTCATCTGGCACCAGGCTCTGTTCAGTTTGGGTTTTTTTGCTTCATCCTGGCAGGAGTTCAAAGAAGGACGCAGAGCTAGCCACACAGCGCCACAGGTGCTCTTCAGCCACAGGGAGCCGCCTCTGGAGCTGAAGGACACCGACGCTGCCGTGGGCGACAACATTGGCTACATCACCTTCGGTGAGCAGGGTGGGGCTGCTCCCCCAAAGGGGTGTGTCTTTGATGCGTTAGTACTACAGAATGCCCAAATCTCCACCGTTTTTTAAATGTTCAGGGGCAAAGCGGTATGCCAAGATGCTCTGTCAACAGTGGTGGTTAGAGGGCACTAACTGGTTCCATGCTGTGTGCTATTTCTGTAGGGTAATCATTTCCCTGTTCACTCTTAAATCCTAAGGGGAGTGGGGTAACCTCTAAAGCACATATTGGGGGTTAGGGTCACATAAGCAATGCTGAGCAACTGGGTGGTGATTCTCTTGTCATTTGGCATTTCTTGAACTCCTCCCCCCCCCCCCTTTTTCCTTTGTTAAGGCCAGGCTCTGGCCATCATTCACTTACCCCATTTCCCACTGAAGAAATTCCAGCCTTCCCTTCTTGTATTTGCTTTAGCTTAGTAAGCTGACTTTTCAGAACTGACAGTGTAGAATGATGACTTTTTCACACACTGCACCTAATGCCACTAACATGACTCCTTTTGTGACTTTAGTTGACCTCAGTATAAAGTAATCCCTGTTCATTAGTTACTGAGCTAGTTGATTTGCCATATTTTATTAAACCTAAACTATACATACATTTTTCACATGATTACTTGGGGAGCCGAGAAGCCAAAGTGTTTGGTTTTCACCACAAGCTATAGGACTTTTTCTGGAATCTCATTTCTCTGAAGACTTACTCTGCTTCAGCACCAAGGACCCAGGACAGGCAGACTGTTCCCTAAGTCAGATTTCTCTTAAGTGATTACTGCAGAGTCCAGGTAGCCAGTAGTACTACTTTCACAAGGGACTCCTGAGCCGCAGGCGGGAGCCAGAGAATAGATTTCAGAGTGTACATCCCCAAATCCAGGCCTGGGTTGAAGGTCTGAGACCAGGCCCTTTCCCGAGCCCTGGTTTCTACCATCAGCTCCATTTTTCTTAACACTTCATTTGCGCTCACTGGTATCTGCCTTAGTGTGGTATTCATTCTTCCTCAGCAGGGAGCGAACCCTGACGAAGCAGGTAGAGTAAAGGAAGTTGATTGTCTTTAGGCTGAGAGAAATTAACTTTGCCCGTAGGCTGCTGTCGGCCCAACTGACACTTTCTCTGTCCCCCCCACTCAGTGTTGTTCCCTCGCCACACCAATGCCAGTGCTCGAGACAACACCATCAACCTGATCCACACGTTCCGGGACTACCTGCACTACCACATCAAGTGCTCCAAGGTGAGGGGAGCTGTGGCATCTGACTCCTGTGGGCACATTCTCCACCAGGGTCCGCAGTATAAAATCTTGTTCCTGTAGTCCAGACTGCTATTACGAATTCTGAGTAGACAGTTCTAGAGGCTTCAAGATATTGTGGTTTTTATACCTCTGTCCATTCTCCTTCAACAGTCCCCATGTAGAGAGATGATTATGTCTCCAGAGGGGTTCCCTGTTTTGCCTCCCTGGAGAGGCCAATCCCTGTGTTGGTTCAGGATGTGTGTCCCTGACCCTTCCTGATAACTGTGCTAATACGACAGCAAGCCAAGCTGCCTTTCTAAAACGTGACTCCGCTTCAGTACCTGTCCTGTGTACCCCTAGGCCTATATTCACACACGTATGCGGGCAAAAACATCGGACTTCCTTAAGGTGCTGAACCGTGCACGTCCAGATGCTGAGAAAAAAGAAATGAAAACAATCACGTGAGTAAGGCAGTCCCGCTGCAGCCCACTTCCTCTCCCGAGTGCGCCAGGAAGGGGAGGACGGTTGTCCAGGCAGTAGCTACACAGAAGGGGCTGGGTAGACCTTAGTCACCTGATGGGCGAAAGTGGTATGCGTGGGTGTTCATTTCTGAGCAGCCAGGCGGGGTTTCCTTGTTTCCACATGTTTGTGACTGGGAGGACGACAGCTGGGAGAAGAACGATGGGAAATGCTTACAAATAAGCTGTGTTCTTGAGTCTTGTTCTTCTCAAGGTCTTACTGGAGAAATGGAGTCATTTGCTTAAGGATATTTAGTTAAAAATGTAAATAGGTCTGGAACCACTTCTGAGGGTTTTTTTCCTGGTCTGCTTCTAGCAGAAATTTTGCATGGCAAGGAAGTTGTCTTTGTTAGGGATGGAAGTGATGAGTAGACTCTGAACCAAGTGTGGCTCTTCACTCTGGAGAAGTTAGTGTGCTCTGGAGCGAAGGGATTTAAGATGGTGGCCTTGGTCTTCCTTCTGGCAAAGTTTAGGCAGTCCTGTTCTTAACAGGAGGCTCTTGCTGTCTTTTGTGCCCTGTCTTCTGTGTGACTTAAAATCTTAAAGCAACTTAAGTCTTACACTTCCCGACATCTGTCATCACCAGTGTACTCAGCACCCAGTACTCTTGGGCCAGCTCTTGGTTGGTGTACAGTTAAGTACTTAGGATGTCAAGGTACTGCCCCTGGCACAGCCTCTTCTACCAAGCTAGTTTCTGCTGCCATCTGACAGGATGAGAGAGGTGTCCTGATAGGAGACACCAGATGTTCATGGAAAGTTTTAAGTCACCCCGGACTCTTCAGGCCAAAGCTACCCATTAGGAAATTGGTACTAAAGGCCTCTGTGGTAGCTCTGTGCCAGCTGCCCAAAGGCTAAGGTATGGTGTGGCTAGGTGCCCTGGCAACAGTGGCAGCTTCATGGCAGAGCCTGAGTGCACTCTAACTGGGTAGAGTCAGGGGAGGCATGCGCCCTGGCGCACACTGCTGCCCCTCCAGAACCTTGGCCTGCGCCCTGGAGCTTACTGCTTCCCTGCTCACCTCCCACAGAAGGGCTTTCTCACCAGGCATCACTTGGGTGACCTTGAGTGGGAGGCAGCCAATTTTAGGGGCTTTCAGGGCCCTGTGTAGGACCGACCTGCTTGACCTTGCGGAGAAGTGTCCTCCAGCAGCGTTGCCCAGTGTCCCCCCTCAGGGCTTCTCCACCCCATTACAACTGTATCTCCCTTGGGAGCCAGATCCCTTCTCCCTTGGGAGCCAGATCCCATTACTTAGTAAGGATGGGAGGAAGAAGTCAGGACCCCTGCACACAGCAGAGCAGATGTCTCTGGCTGAATGGGGTGAAGTAGGGTAGCGGGCCTGTGGTGAGATGTGTCTCTGGATCAGAAGCCAGCCCTCAGAGTTGCATCCTACAGAATGGAACATTTGAGAGCTTTTCATTTTGGGGGTGGGGGGGAGGGAAGTAAAATACGGTTTCATTCTGAGAGAGTGAGACATTAAAAGACAGGGAAAATGTAGCCTCTTTCTCCCTTAGGTCTCAGTTCTAGCTTCAGGCTGCTTTACCAAAATACCTTCTGTGTTTGGAAGGCAGCCCAAAGATATTAGGAAACTATTCCCAGAACTGGCTCTTCTGGGGAAATACTGGGTGGAACAGAACACCAGCACTCAGAGCCTGTGTAACCTAGAGGGTAGTCAGTCACCTATCACCTGGTGACAGTGTTGAAATGTCTTCTACTCTGGAAGTCTGGAGAGCTGCTGCTTTGCACCCTGCACCACTGTGAAAGCTTTAAGGAGCTGCTAGCCCAGAAGGATACAAGCTGTATACAGAGGAGCCTGAGCTCCTGGTGGGAAGAGCTGAGCCTAGTCTGAAATGCACGTAGCTCTAGGTCATCCAGAAAGTGGATTCTCCAGGTTAACTTTGTAATTTAATGTCCTCATTGGCTTAGCACAGATAATTCCTTGTACCCCAAAGTAGTCAATTGGAAGAAAAACTAACAAACATTGGTCTTAGTCTGTGCTCAGCTCTGCCTATATCTGCCTAAGGGGATCTTTGCGACTCTTGCTTGGTATCTCTCGGGGTCCCACCCCCAGTCGAGGAGTGAGGGGTGAAAGAAAAACGGTGAACCAGAAACTGGCCTTCACACTTAACTCTCTGCTTTTGAAAGGGGGAAGACATTTTCGTCCCGCTAACTCTTGGGAACAAGAAGAGGAAGCTTCGGCTGGCAACTGAAGGCTGGAACACTTGCTACTGGATAATCGTAGCTTTTAATGTTGCATCTCTTCAGGTTCTTAAGGGATTGTCCGTTTGGGTTCCATTTTGTACACGTTTGGAAAATAATCTGCAGAAACGAGCTGTGCTTGCAAGGACTTCATAGTTCCCAAGAATTAAAAAAGGAAAAGAATTTCCACTTGATCAACTTAATCCTTTTCTTTATCTTCCCTCCCACACTCCCATTCCCCCCCCCCCTTCCTTTTTGAGGCTGTTTCGCTTTGCAATATGTTACTGGTAATGAGTTTCAGGATAATGCAATCTTAACTTGTTTTCTCCTAAGTATTTGTGTTCAGAACTCCTGTATCTAAAGAAATACGGTTGGGGTCATTAATAAAGAAAATCTTTCTATCTTACATGAGAATTTTCTGGGTTTCTGGATTGGAGTCCAAAAGAGAGAAGAGAAGAGACAACCTTGCCTCTGTCCATGCAGACCTGAGCCAGAAAACCCTAGGTCAGGAGCCTGCCCTTAAGGGTTTAGCTGGCAGCTCTTGCTCGGTGTTTGGGGGAACGTGGGCATGCTTATGGTAAAGCTCAGTTGCTAGACCAAGAAGCCCAGGCTGGTGACAGGCATGTTAAAGTGTTTCTGGCTTACTCTTACATCATGGAGAATGTCTGACATTTCCCAAAATGCACCCCGTAGTGTGGACCCCCTCCCCAGTCGAGGATAAGGGGTGTTATCAGCATTTTTTACAAATGGGGTAGTAAAGTCTGCATCGTCAAGCGCATTCACACTTGTTAGGGCAAGGACTGATTCTGGAGTGTTCTGGTTACGTGTACTCATCTTGACTGGATTGTAAGACTTTTTTAGCTTCTGTGTGCGGGTCAGTCAAGGTGTTTGAAAGCTATATGTCACTTGGTCATCCAGACTTCATGTGACTTCACTTCACCAGGCTCTTAGATGAGGATGCAGTCACGTGCCTATCCCCTCAATAGAGTGCTGGGCCCCGGATGCACTCACCCCATGGCCTCTGGTAGGGGGAGTCACCACACCACATCTACCCTCATCACCCCGATAACCTGTCCCCTCCCCCTGGCAAGTGGAAAATCTAGCTAAACTAGATACATTAAGAACTGATGACATACGTATTCTGTACCCTATGAAAAATTGAAGGGGTTTTCAAGGGTAATTTTGACTACAAGTTTTTGCTTTTCTTGTTGACTTTAGGACACAGCAAGTTGGAACTCGCAGTACTCTTGTCAATAGTGGGGAGTAAGATTTCTGAAAAATGCTATAAATGGCAAGGCCAAAGGTTGCTTAAGAGAACTAAGTCATTTTGATTTTTTTTTTTTAAGATGTATGTATGTATTCACACAAAAACTGGGTTACAGACCAAAGGTGCAGGGGGTGAGATGATTCACCAGAGAAGTAGGGAGCAGAACAGGCAGATTAAGTGAAGCACACTGCCGAGGGAGCCCCGGGCAGGTCAGGAGAGGTCTGCTGCGCCCTGTGGTCACCTCGGGGGATCTAACTCAGGCTGTAGTGGCTGAGGAGAGCTTCATAGTGCTGCGCTTGGTTTAACCCCATGGCCACCAGGGAGGGCCCACTAGATATTTTTTTTACAGCTATAAATCTTGAAAGAAGTAACCTAATTCTGAAGTTATTTGTTGGCATAAAAAAGTCCACGCTGCTGAGAAGCCCTCGCTAGGCTTGCCCATTTCTCATCTGCTTCCAGAACTCATTTGGTGCGGTCACAACTCTCAAAGACCCTGCCCTCCCTGTGGGGGCAAGATCCACTGTTACTTCAGCCAAGGCTGGCTTGTGGGAGAAGGGAGGTCTCGCCATGGGTGCTAACAGTGGCATTATTGGCTCCCCTGCCCAGAGGGGCCTCATGGGAGCAGTAGGTGGCCTTGGCTGTGAGCTATGGAAGTGGTGGGGGTCAGTATTTTTTTTAAAGGTTTATTTGTGCATACAGAACTGGGGCACAGGCCAGAGGTGCAGGGGTGGTGAGAGGATCCACCTGTGGGAGCAGACCAGGCCAACTGATGAAGTACACTGCTGAGGGAGCAGCGGGCAGGTCAGGAGAGGTCTGCCGCGCCATGTGGGTCAGCTCCGGGGCGGGGATCGAACTCATGCAGAAGTGGCTTGAGCTTCTTAGTGCTGCACCACCAGGGAGGGCCCCAAGGGGTCATTCTTCTTAAGACAAGTTTGCACCCTTAATAGCTGTGTGAGCAGAATTCTTAATCTAAGCCTAGCTGGGTAGAGCACACCGTATCTTTTAGAAGGACAGGGGAGCAGGTAAGTGTTTATTGTAAGCCTCACAGTGCCTGCGTTTGTCATTGATAATGCCATTCTACACACCTTAGTTCCTCCTCTGTACACACGGGCATCAGAAGTGACATGTCTGTTGGGGAAACTTCTTGGGGCTTTCCAGGTCCTCACAAAGAGTTGGTAGTTTTCTCTAGGTGTCACATAAACTGCAGCAGGGAATGAGTGAGTGTTGGTGGAATCCCCACGTCTGAGTAAAGTGGGAACCGCCAGTTAGGAGCAGGAGAGGAAATCATGCAGCAGGAGGGCAGGAAGTTGAGAGTAGGAAATGAGGTGGCACCAGCTAGCTGCTGCCCAGCTCTCACGGGGCTGGTATTGGTTTTACCATTTCAGTTCCCTTTGACCTGTGGCTTTGTCCTAACCGCTACAGAGACCTGTACTAAACTGTACTAATGCTGCCCCCTTCTGGAATTGTTAGAATACTACAATGTTGCTCCTAGCGTCCCACCCAGAAGGCCTTTGCAGACCTGGAGAATGGCCCTGACAAGGAACCAGAGTTTCTTCTGTCCTGGAAGTGATTTAAGGCTTCCTGAAGCCAGGATCCTGGCAGTCTTAGGATCCTACCAGAGCCCTAAGAGGCTCCCAAGGGCTCATCTGTTTCTATCTGTAGGGAGTGAAGAGAGTTGAGCAGAGGCTCAAGAAGGCCAGTGGGTTCCAAAGGCCCAATGCCCGTTGCCACTGCCCATTCAGTCAGTACCACTACCACCCCCACCCCAGGCCAGGCCTTGAATACCACACCCACCAGTCCAGGAGACCTAGGGCAGCAGCAAGAAACTAAGGAATAGGGAAAGGCAGAAGGAGACCCAGGCTCCCCTGCCAGCACCCATGTCAGATACCCAGACACAGGTCTTGCTGAGGAAAGGAAGGGGTCTGGGGCCTGCAGAGTCTACAGGATGAAGCACCTGTAAACCTGCACCAGAGCCTCCAGGGATGACAGTGGAACAGAGGAACTGGGTAATTCAGTGAGAGACAGTACTCAGTGGAGGACAGAACCCAGGCTCCCTGGCTCCCTCCCCAAAGCTGTCCCCCTTCACTAGTCATCCCACACACAGTGTTTAGACAGAGCAGCAAAGAAGAAACACAGACATCCTGGATGCACAGGGAGGCCAGGGCTGGGAACAGAAGGTCTGTTTATTCCTGGCACTCTGGTATCTGAGGGCCCCCATACCCACTCTTCAGACTCTGGGCTGAACTCTCCCAGAGCCTCTGACTGGTGCTGGACCAAATGGGTGGGGTGAGGGCTGTCTCCTAGAACCCGATGTCCTCCTGCCCTCCAGCTCCCTTCAGTATGAGCTTGAGCTAGAGGTTTGCCTCTTCCCACCTCTTGCTTCCCAAAAATCCTGCCTCTCCAGGGCCCCTGACTCCTTTGCAGTGTTGACAGCTAGACCCCCCCAGGCCTCTAGCTCCTTGGGCCTAGGTCTCCCCCAGAGAGCACAGAAGGGCCTTTCCCCTGTCTCCTTGTATTCTTGAGCAAGGGAGGTTTTCCTTATCTTGCCTCCAGAGTTGTGCCGCGATTTCAGCCTGCACCCTGCATCACAAGGTTCCAGGAAGTGTAACTGGACTTCTCTCCTTCACCCCCAAAGCCGCACTTGAAACAACGGATTCATGGCCCCTCGTATCTTAGCTTCCTGGCCTTGAACCCGCCCTTCCTCTCGCACGCTGTTTTCTGCTCCCGTGTCATCCATCCCCTTGCTCCTTGTAGGCCTTCCATCTGCCTGTCTGCACAGTCCCAGGCTGGAGGCAGAGTAGGGCAGAAGTCCTCATATTAGCAGTATTTCCCTGAGTGCACATAGGCCAGCCCACCTCAGCCTTAGCACACATCACATCATTCTGTCCCCTCATAGGTGAGTACAGTAAAGAGGAAACAAAGGCAAGAGAACGGTAGTAATTTGCCTAATTGAGTTCCAGATGTAACACCCCCCAGAGTTACCACCACTCACTCCCCAACCCCCTCATGTCACTCACAACCCAGAATATAACACAGCCGTTGAAGAAAGGGTGAGGTGACTCAGAGCCCGGAAGATACAGGCTGGCTGAAAGGCCCACCCAGTGGTAAGATAGGACACTGAGATCTTCCGGCCCCGAGCTTCCCCCCACAGCCTCCATTGCCATACACTACCCTAGAGTCTGCAGTAGAATCAGAGGGCTGAGTGTGCTGTCCACTGGCCACTCTAGGGCCAACACAGAAATGTGTTGGGGGCGGGGGGCAGACTCAATTATTATTATTCATTAACTGGGATGTATTCCTCAGATTAGTTAGGCAGCAGGCAAGAGAGTCTCAAGCTTGTGGGGGGACAGGTAGGCCGGGTGACCCAGGTAAGGGAGCCACCGCCCAGGTGGCGATCTACTCTGCAGTGGATGACTGGGAGGGCAGATAACAGGCACTGCAGGGGGGAAGGCTGTGGCCGCAGCAGCTCAGGGTGTGTCAGGTCCGGCCCCTGGAGGCGGAGCCAGGCCTCCTTCATCCCTCTGGGGAGCCCAGGCGGGGCAGAGCCTGGGAGCTGAGCCCCGCTGTCCCTGAGGAGTGGAGACACCATGCTCTCGCTGGCCTGGACAGCAGATATGGTCGGAAGCCCCTCGGGACTGACTGTGGCAACAGTCTGACACGCACAGGAAGCCCAGGCTGGGCAAGCAACACCTGTCCCCACAGCCATGTGAGTATTCTGACACCAACCCCAGGACACAGCTCAGCCCTAGATTCGGAAGGGACCATGTGCGCCCTCAGCACCCCCAGGGAGTGCAGGTCACACAGCCAGCACAGCCCTGGGACCTAGGGACCCTGGGACGTCATCTCCGGGGCCTAATCTGGCCCTTCTTGTTCCTCTGGTGGAGGCTGGGTGGGAAGGACTTACCCCAGGGGAGGACCGGATGCTCCAGCCTGGGATCCTGGCTTGAAAGACCCTGAAGTCTTGCCGGGGTTTAATGAAGCTGGTGGGGGACAAAGAGGAACAGAAACTGGAGGGCTGTTGTTGAGGGAAAGACCTCCCTAGTGGGGTGTACTGGGGGAGATTGAGGAACAGGAAACGGGGGCTGAGGGGAAGGAAAGAGGTACAGCAGCTAGATGACCAGACTTGGGGTCCTGAGGGGCGGTGGGGCTGGAGGGGCAGCACTCCTGGGTGATGGCCTGCACCTCCGAGCCTCTGACCTGGGGGAGGGGCAGGCAGGAACCCTTTCCTTATCGACTGTAATCCTAGCAACAGCAGCTGCTTCCCTGTTGACAGAAGCAGTAGTTCCCACCGGCCCAGGACCCCTCCCCCTTCGCCATGATGCGGCAGTGGGCCAGTGCCTGAGGACTGAGAGAGGTCAGGAGGAGGCCAAGGGAAGGGAGGGGCCCATCAGAGCCGGGAAGCCAGACCCTGCCCATGACTGCCCTCTTCTCTTCTCGCTCCATTCAGCCCCAAGGTGTGGAGGGCGGAGGGTGCCCTCTCTTTGCCCAGGCATCTCCACGTTGGTGGCCAACCCTCCCTCCAGCAATTCCTCTCCCCACTCACAGTTCCCAGGAAGGACCCTGTTGCTATTGTGGTACGGATGAGTCAAGTTTATGGTCTGGAAGTCCTAACCGGAGGTTGCTCACTGAACTGGAACCAGCATCAAGGGCGGATGGGTGTGGGGGACAAGGCACCCCACTTGCCACCCATTGCCGGGGCCTCCTCTCTAACCCCAGTTAGCAGCTGGTCATCTCATAATGCGCTGGTGCCAGCTGGGCCACGAGCACCTGAGGACAGGACCTTCACCTCCCCGGAGGCTGCACCAGCCCTGGCCCCTGGCCGGCCAGCTGGCCCCTGCCCTGGCCAATTCCAAGGCCAGGTCAGGCAGAGTGAGGGATGGACAAGATGCTTTGGGGTTAGGTGGGTTCCGTCTTCCAGTCAGCGGAGGCCTAAGCAGCCACCCCGAGCAGGCCAGACAGATAGCAGGAACGAGTGAAGGGGGCCTGGCAGAAAAAGTGGGGAACTTGCAGGCAGCTCATTCAGCTCCAGATGGCCACTACCATGCAGAACACAGCATATTGCCTGAGTTGAGAGAAGCAAAACCCTGAATTTTTAGAAAAATTGTTTTAGGAAAATTAGTTGAGAAAAAAGCCACGTGTGGCAAACAGGATCTGGTCCGCAGCCCACTGGTCTGCAACCTCAGGACTAAGTGCAGCCCGCTCCCCTAACCCTGGGCACCCCTTTTTCCCTTCAGGCATGCTGGCTGCAGCTCCAGGCCTCCCCACTCCCAAGGTCCGAGATGACACCCAACAGCACCATCCCTGCGGAGGCCTTGGGGCTCTCCCTGGCCCTGGCCAGTCTCATTGTCGCTGCCAACCTGCTCCTGGCCCTGGGCATCGCCAGCGACCGCCGCCTGCGCAGCCCACCCGCTGGCTGCTTCTTCCTGAGCCTGCTGCTGGCCGGGCTGCTCACAGGGCTGTCGCTGCCTTCACTGCCAGGGCTGTGGAACCAGAGCCTCCGGGGCTACTGGTCCTGCCTCCTGCTCTACCTGGCTCCCAACTTCTCCTTCCTGTCCCTGCTGGCCAACCTCCTGCTGGTGCACGGGGAACGCTACATGACGGTGCTGAGGCCCCTGCGGGCCCGCGGGAGCACGCAGCTGGCCCTGCTCCTCACCTGGGCTGGCCCCTTCCTCTTTGCCAGCCTGCCTGCTCTGGGGTGGAACCACTGGGCCCCTGACACCAACTGCAGCTCCCAGGCTGTCTTCCCAGCCCCCTACCTCTACCTCGAAGTCTACGGGCTCCTGCTGCCCGCCGTGGTTGCTGCCGCTGTGCTCTCTGCCCGGGTGTTGGCAGCCGCTCACAGCCAGTTGCGGGACATTCGCCGGCTGGAACGGGCAGTGTTCCGAGAGGAACCCTCGGCCCTGGCCCGGAGCCTCACCTGGAGGCAGGCGAAGGCGCAGGCTGGGGCCACGCTGCTCTTTGGACTGTGCTGGGGCCCCTACGTGGCCACCCTGCTCCTCTCGGTCCTGGCCTATGAGCAGCGCCCACCTGTGGGGCCGGGAACTCTGCTGTCCCTCATCTCACTGGGCAGTGCCAGTGCAGCGGCTGTGCCTGTTGCCATGGGGCTGGGTGACCAGCGCTACACAGCCCCCTGGAGGGCGGCTGTCCAGCGGTGGCTGCGGGCGCTGCAGGGAAGAGCCTCTCGGGGCAACAGCAGCCCAGACACCGCCTACCACACCAACATTCAGAGTAGCGCTGACCTGGACTTGAACTAGAGGAAGGGCCCTGCCCACTAGAAGAACCCGTCCATCTCGACCTCCAAACCCAGCTCCACTTGCCTCCACCCTCTGGACGAGGCCCACTCCTGCTGGCCCCACCCTAGCCAAATAAAACTCTGCCCCAGACGTCCTCGTCTGTGCCCCAGAAGGGAAAGGCAGGTAGGACAGTTGTGGAAAGAACCTAGAGCCACACGTGCAGCAAGGGAGATTCCAGCTCCAGATGGGCAAGCCACTGCGGGAGGACAGAGCGCGCCGGAGTACCCCGAAACTCCCATCTGGGGGGCCTCGCGCTGGCAAGCCCCTCGCTGGTTGCTCCTTATGTTCAGTCACTACAAAACCCACATAGACACAGTGTCTGGGAAGCATATTTTATTTACATTTTAAAATCTGTAACTAGTATCTCTTCCTCCTTTCCGTCCCCCGAGACTTGGGAAGGGAAAGAACGGGAACCGCGGAGAACTACTCCCCACATACAAATATGCACCCCCATGGCTCACACCAGCAAATAAAAGTTAAAGAGAAAGAGGTCGAACCTCCCTCGAAGGATCCACCAGGTCGGGACGTAGGGAAGGGAGACAAGGGCCCCTGGGGGCCGGGGGGGTCTCTTAAGAGAAGAAAGGGACACGGGGGCAAGTCAGCGTGAAGGGGGTTGGAAAGTAGTCTGAGGCCCCTCCCCTCCTCCTCCCAGGCACCCTACCGCCTCTGCTGGTGGTGGGGTGTCCCCGCAACACCAGATTCAGAACAGAGGCTGCAGTCGTTAGCGGTCAGGTCTCTGGACACAAAATACTTTTGCTTTGTGGTCTCCTGATGTAGTCACCACCAGGGAGGCATCTCTGCAAACAGAAAGCACAGGCTGAAGGAACTAGGGATGTGGGCTGCAAGTCCGCCACCCGGGCCCTTAGGTGGCCTCCAGCACATCCTCAACGCTAGGGCCAGCCCGACAGCCCTCCACAGCACACCCATGCTGAGCGAACATTTGCCCGAGAAGTCAGAGCTGAGTCCCAGCTCCAGCCCTTCCGCCCCAGGACTGAGACCCGGGAGGTTACTGTCCACCAGAACAGGACCTCAGGCCTCCCAGCACTCCTACCTCACAGGCCATGCCCGGGCCTCAGGTCCCTGCTTCCCTCAGGAAGGCCCTCCCAACACCCCAAGGACCCTGAGGTCATCCCTGTGCGATTCCCAGCTCCCCAACGCACAGAGACCACCCCACCGCACCCCCAACTCAGGCCAATCCACATACTTGCTGAGGGCGAAGTCCAGAATCTCGGCCGTGTGGCCCCGGTAGTCAGTGAGCAGGCGGCCGGTCCGGGCATCCCAGAGGCGCACGATGCCATCCAGGCTGCAGGTGTAAACCACAGCGGTGCCTGCTTCCCACAGCAGCTGCACGATACCCGACTGCACCAGGGTACAAGTGTGCGTGCAGAGAGGTCAGGGCAGGAGAGCAGAGCAGCTGCTCCTAATTCTCGTGGAGGGTGGGGTGGGCAGAAGCCATGGAGGAGGGTGGAGGGGGGCCAGGCTGCCTTACCTGGTGCTGACACTGGTGCCTGAGTGTCTGCGTGGACAGGTCATAGATGGCCAAGGTCCCATCCAGGTAGCCGACCGCTGCCAGCGGCATCCTGGGCAGAGGGGAGCACCAGGAAGGCTCAAGTTGGAGCCCAGACCCATGTGCCCACTACCCACTCTCCCCTGGTCCATGGCCTAGACCCCTCCTCCCCAATTCCTCTCAGGCCCTGCTCACACTCACACACTGCAGAAGCCCAGGGACTCCACAGAGTTGGACTCGCTCTCCTCCCCTTCTCCCAGGTTGGGCTGGGAGGCCACCGTCTCAGGTCTGAAAACGCCGACCACCTGGGAGCCGGAAGAGAACATGAGAGAAGGGCCTGGGTCATGGGTCCTCTTGAAAACAGAAAGGCAGAAGGGTGGGAAGGTCAGCTGAAGAGTGAGGAAGGGGAGGAGCCGCAGCAAGCAGAGAGCTCTGCAGCCAGGCGCCAGGTCCTGCTCACCTTGCCGGTGGTGGCGCTGACCAGCTTAGCCTGGCAGTCCACAGAGCCAGTCAGGATCAGGCTGCCATCTGGGTTGGTGGCAACACAGGTCAGAGGGCCCTGGTGACCCTCAGTCCCTAGGGTGGAGCAGAGGTGTAGTCAGGCCTCATTCCGTCCCAAGTCCTACCAGAAAAGGCCCAGGCCGACCCCTCCTCCACGCCTCGCCATACCTTTCAGTACATGAATGGGGTTCCCCTGCTTCAGGTCCCAAATCCTGATGGTCCCATCTTCATAGCCAACCACAGCTCTCTTTCCTACGGGGCCAGCGGCACAGGTGGAGAAAGGACAGAAGGCACAATCAGACACGTCCAGCAAAGAGGAGAAAGTCAGGGAAGAGACACTCTGAAGGGACAACAGAGGAGACCCAATCTGGTGGGCAAGGGGGAGCTGTCTGCGCGGCCCAGCTCGGCGCGCAGAGGGCAGCCTAGACTGCCAGCTGTGGCCCAGAGGGGCCGAGCTGGTTAGAGAGCTTGGGGCCAACCTCTGTGCACCCAGCAAAGAACACTCGGGGGAGCTGCTCTCACCATCGGGGAGGACTCGACCACAGGTGGCTGGGCAGTTGGGACCCTGGAAGGTCTTGCAGTCACCGTTTGGGACCTTCCACATCCAGGTGTTGCCGTCAGCTGTGCCCGCCAGTAGGATCGGTGCCCGGGGATGCCACTCCATCCACTGGGCAGAGGAAGGGGGCAGTGTAAATGCTGACGCTGGCCGTGCTTTTTGTAATCCAAATGCTCAGCGTAAACTCTGACGCCGGGGCATCCACTTCAAAAAGGACTATCTCGACAAACACCTTGCCAGCCGCTCGCTGGGCGCCATCTCCCCATCCCACCCCCCGAGCCCCCGCCCCGCTCAAGGTCCTTGTCTCGCAGCTCTTAGTTGGTCTAAGTAACTGACCATATAGGCCAGTTGTTTATTTTCACCTTTCTCTCTTTCTAAGCTTTAACTCTTAAGTTTCAAATTTGCCAAGAAGGACTAAGCCACAAAGGCCTAGACCCCCACCCTCAGCCCCAATCAAAAGCAGAACCCCAGGAGCTTGACACCCTACCCACTGTCCCATGGGCCTCACTCATTTTCCCTGGCTTTCCACATAACAGATACAAAAATTTTAGCAAAACGTCGGGGGTACACTGACTCAGAGGTACCTTGGCCTGGCGTAAGTGGACTAGAGCCTGAAGATCCCCCAAAATTAAGTCATTCTGATAACCTCACCTCCAGGTCTCCTGCCTCAAAGGACCAGACCTCCTCCTTCGTGTCCACCTGCCACACTTTCAAGAGGCCACTCATGTCCCCTGTGGCCACTAAAGTAGAATCGTGGCTGAAACCAGCACATGTCACAGAGTCTTTATGGCCTGCAGAGAAAAGAGGAGTCAGGTACCTGGCCCCCAGAAAGGTCCAGGTAGGGGAAAAGGGTGGGTCCCAGAAGAACAAGTGCCCAAACTCATCACCACCCCAGGAATGCACACTCCCAGGCCCCCCAAGGGAGACAATGCTGCCCCCCCCCCCCGAACCATGTGCAGCCCAGACCTACGCCTTTCCGGTTCTGTACATTCTGCAGGCACCTCCACCTGAAATACCCACTCGTTGTGCCCAAACACTCCTATTTCGCCGCTGCGTCTCCCAGGCCTTTCCCAGACTTCCTTGGCTAATTAGCGCCCCTCTCCTGAGCCTACAACAGGCTGCAGCTCTTCTGTGGGGCACTGGGACCCAGCGCAGGGCTCACACAGTCAAGGAATGGCTGATGGATACAGGCCAACCCCCCGGGCCACCAGAGGGGCACACTGTCACCCAGGCCCCTCACCTGCACACTCAAAGAGCAGCTCCCCATCGCTGAGCCGCCACACAAAGGCTTTGTCATCTTCACCCCCCGTCACTGCCAAGGTGTTGGTCTTGGGGTCCAGGCTCACGCAAAACACAGATGCTATCCAAAGAGATATTTAAGGAGTAAGGGGGGGTGGGCAGGCCTCCTATCCAGGGTTAGGACCTTCAGGGAACCACCCCTTCCACCCAGAACTATGTCTTTCCTCCCGAAAAGGGCGCATCCAAGCATCAGGATGTTGGAGAGATTCCTCCCCAAGCTCTGAGTCCCAGGTACTGAGCTGCTTCCTCAGAGCGCCCAACCTGCCGTGGACAACAGGAGAGCATCTCTGCAAGGCCTGCAGGGTGGCCAGGAGGCCAGCAGGCGGGCGAGTGAGGAGTGCTCCGGGTACGGATGTCTTACCAAGAGGTAGTATTTGGGAGGTTACCGAAAATATGCTCAGGTACTCTTCCTTGTAATTTATACTCAGGTGACACGTTAATTTTTACCACAGGTAACTTTTTAAAAGGAAACTAAGACCAGAGAGGTTAACAAAGTTCCTAAACCGCCCAGTAGCAGAGGCAGGCTCTGACCCCTGCAGGAGCCATGTTCTTCTCCACCCCTCATCCCACAACACCAACATCTCCATCTCTGCCTCCCCCTAGTGCTCCACACTCGATGGCTGTGCTCAGTGCCCATCGGGACTGAATTTAAGATGGATCTCTCCGGTGACTTACCTGAGTGCAACGCAAAGGTGACCTCACTATCATCTGGACCCTCCATGCTGCCGACCACCCCATCCTGGGGCTCCAGAACCCAGCCCTCCTCGTTGCCCTCTTCCTCTTCTTCCTCTTCCTCAAAGTCTACATCTTCCATCTCCTGGGCCAGATCATCTGCTTTGGGGACAGGGTTAAAAAATGGGGAGAGACAAGTGGAGAGGCGTGAAGGGGTCAGGTGGCAAGAGAGTCAGGTGAGGTCTGACAGGTGGGATGAAGCTGGGCAGGAGGTAGGGAGGAGGGGACGTGCAGATGGGGGAGGTCGAAGGACCGGGGCTTAGCAAGAGACAGTGTGGGAAGGGAGCACAGAGGGGATGATGGGAAGGGGGTGTGTGAGGGGAAGGGCCGGAGGAGGCGTCAGGGGAACCCCCACCCCAATCAGGCCCGAGAACTAAGTGCGCGGGAGGGAGAGAAGGAGGAAGCCGTCGGTAGGAATGACCGGTGGGGTGTGGAGGGGAGGGGGAGAGGCATGGGTCAGAGGCCAGGGGTGAGCGCCTGTCCCATGGCCTGAGGAGCGGCAGTTCTCACCTGGGTCCGGCGGACCGGGATCCAGTTCTACCACCTCGATAATCTCCTCATCACCATGGAAGCTTAGGGTCTCCAGTGGAGGGGTGTCAGCAGCGGCTCCGCTTTCCGATTCGGACTCCATGCGGCGAAAGCGGCCGATCCACTTCTCCGGGCCCAAACGCCTCCCAGAGTCAGCTCTGCGCGACGACGCGGAACTCGAGCCCCTCCTCCCGGGAGGAAGTAGGCGTAGGCGACTCCCCAGCAGGAAGAGCGGCGGCCTTTCGGCCAATAGTGAAAGGGAATGACTGACGGACCCACCAATCATGGGGCAAAGTTGGGAGACAGGACGGGGCGTGGCGGAGAGAACCCAAACTCCGGCCCACAAGGCTCCGCCCCCAACAGGAGGGAAACAAGCGAGCGTGCGCGCCTCCGTGGTCTCCTGGGAGCAGTAGTTCACCCGAGTCCGCTCCGCGGGCTTCTGGGGGATGTAGTTTCTGATTTGTAGGCAGGACGGAAGGAGCGGGGGAGGCCCCTTACGCAAACTACAATTCCCGGCGGGGAGCGCGGTGAAGGGGGGTGGGATCTGAACATGGCGGCGGTGGTAGCTGCTACGGCGCTGAAGGGCCGGGGGGCGAGGAATGCCCGCGTCCTCCGGGGTAAGGAGAGGGACCCCGGGGAGGGCAATAATGCAGTAGGACCCCTTTTTTGTCACACCCTAACGGGCGACAGCACAAGGTTAGGGCTGTCGATTCTTGCCGCACCTTCTGCAGGATCTTGAATAGCCTGGGGGCTACAAGATGCTCTCTAGAGGTCACCCAGTCCTTCCCCTGCCTTCGGGTTACGAGACACCGCCGGGGTCTTGCTTGGAGAGGGAGCCCCAAGAAAGCCTTGTAGACTCCCGCGCTCCAGGTGTTTCACACTCACCGCAGTGCAGAGGAAAGAGCCCTGAGCTTCTGGAGGCTTGGGTTCTATCCTCGGATAATTAGCCGTTTGACCTTGGGTGAAGCAGTTCGTCTTTTGGGGCTTCGGTTTCGTCTTCTATAAAATGACAGGATGGGTAGACTTTGTTTAAGCTCCCTTCCATTGCTAGCTAACATTCTGCAGTTCGAAAACCTTTTTCTCGGATTTTCTTCCTACGTCTCATGTGAGTCCCACTGCAGTCCTTTCCGTCCTGTGGACCGAGGAGATGAACAGCGAATCCCGCTTGCCTGGCACCAGGGCGATGAGCCCGCAGTGACGTGGAAGTGGCTTCCAAAGGTGCCACCTCAATGGCGATTATCTCGTTTCCCTTTGTATTCTCCTTGGTACTTGTTACTGCAAAATGCAGTTACTCCCCTTCCGCAGACCTCAACCACTCCTGGGGGGGCTTTCTTCCCATCCTCTCTTACTGACCTCCTTTATCTCCATCCACAGGGATTCTCTCAGGAGCCACATCTAACAAGACTTCCCAGAATAGGACCCGGGCGCTGCAAAGCCACAACTCCCCAGAGTGTAAGGAGGAACCTGAACCCCTGTCCCCTGAACTGGAATACATTCCCAGAAAGAGGGGCAAGAACCCCATGAAAGCTGTGGGACTGGCCTGGTGAGTTTGACCTGACCCTTTGTCCACCGTGGGGAGTGTTTCCAGAGGAGGGCGGGACCCAGCTTTTCCAAGTTTCAGATGGTAAACTGAATCCAGTGTTGTGTGGACAGCAATGTTGGGTGCAGGGACTGGAATCTCGGTAGAATGGGGCAGGGGAGGTGGGAAGGTATGTGGAATTGAATAGACAGTGGGTTTCTGAGCTAGTCTCACTTGAATTTGAGTTCATCCTTTCAACTGGGATGAGCCCCAGTTGAAATCTTTGAGATAAATGAAATGATGATATGAAGTTGTGTTAGTTGTTTATAGTTGCACCTAGGAGGTGTTCAGTACGTTTATTTGGATTTGACTCGGACCTTAATGTTTATTACTAATCACTAAAGGGAATAGAAGAGCAAATTAACATCTTTTTCAGCACCTGAGGTGTGCCACTACTTGACAACATAATGCTTTAGTCTTTTTTGAAATGAGTGTTACATCCCCATTTCACCAATGAGGGAACTGAGACTCAGAGCTGAGATTCTCACGAGGTCTTGTGACTCATACCCTTTTCCCACCCCCCATACTAAAGTACCTCCCAGTAGCAATTACTCAGATTCAGAAGGGGAGTAAAGGAGGAATGTGGGGCACTTTAGACAGATGAAACCTTTACCAAGACTTGGGGAGAGAGGATGGGCAGTGTGGAGATCAGGCACAGCCAGTGTGGGCTCATGTTGAAGGTTATCAGGATATAGGGGAAAGGAATAAAGATGTGGGTAGAAGCCCAACCACACAGGGCCTTTTGTACCTTGCCTAGGAGTTTGTGCCTTGCCACCAGAAGTGGTAGAGAGCTGTTAGCGATGGCAGATCTGATTTGCGTGGGGGCTGACACAAGAGGTATTGCAGTGTTCATGAGATTGATGAAGGAGGTATGAAATGTCCCCCAGCTTCTCTGGCTCAGGCTTGGCCCCTCCCCAAACCCCATGCACATTTCCCCACCCCTAGGGCCATCGGCTTCCCCTGTGGTATCCTCCTCTTCATCCTCACCAAGCGGGAAGTGGACAAGGACCGTTTGAAGCAGATGAAGGCTCGGCAGAACATGCGGGCATCCAACACGGGCGAGTATGAGAGCCAGAGGTTCAGGTCCTCCTCCCAACATGCCCCGAATCGTGGAACTGAGCCTGGGGTGCAGACCTGAGGAACACTGCAGCCCTCCTCTAGAGTGTATTGACTGGGGCCTCCTGAGCCAGAAGCCCCTTTGGGTTTCACTGCAACTCTGGTCCTTGCCTGAGTTCCACCAGAGGGCGCCTGAAGCCCAGGCTGCTGCCAGCTACTGCCCTGTCCCTCCCCTCCCAAGCCAGCCAAAGACAAATAAAATTATTGAGTGTAAAGGAACCAGGACTGGGTTGTGAGTCCCTTGGGAGGGGAGGGGCAAAGGGTGGGACTGGTTACTCTGTGCTCCTCTCACCCAAGTGCTCAGAGTATTATTCCCACTGGATGACTGGAGAAACTACAGATTTCAAATACTAGCCTGGGCTCAAGCGCTGTGGACCAAACCCTCAGAACGGCTGGTCCGGAGGCAGACTCCCGCTCAACCTCAAACAAATGATGACAATCAAAGAGGGCATAGAGGAGAAAAACACTACTTTTGCCTGAGTCCTAATGACTCAGCCTCTCTGGGCTTCAGTTTCCTTATTTGTACTAGGGAGTTCTAAGGCAAGGACTCGAAACTGAGCCTAGGGCCCCACCCAGACCCATATGTAAAACTGTGTGGACACATACAAGCTTGTGGGGGAAAGGGGGAAGCTCACAGCTCTCTTGAGTTTTTAATGAGTTTTCATCTTTATTAAATTTTATAAGAACTTTAGATACTAACATATACCTTTAATCAAAGACCACTTAGGTTCTCAAAAGTCTCCACTTTTCATTCATTTAGTAATGTTAGAAAATCTACTGCTTACTTGAGAATAGTGGGAAACACCAAGTAATATTTTAGTGTCACAAGTTTTCACCCCGTAGGTACCGACTGTATCTGGGCCTCCCAGGTCAAAGGACCACGTGACTGATGTCAGGCGACCTCCCTATTCTTTTAGAATTCCTTAGAAATGTCAGTGGACATTTCTATGTCAGTGCCAGCGGGAACATCCTGTTACTCTGGGGGCTAAGGTCTGGTTCTGGGGCCATGCTTGAGAATTTGCGCTTTTACCCCCTTACTCCCCTTTGAGGTACTCCTAAGGGCAGCTCTAAAAGGAGTCAGCTGAATCCAGCCTTTCCAAGCACCCGAGTTACAAACCATGTGTATCTCCCCCAAAGAGCATGTCATTCACCTTACCAAAAAGCATTGAGTCTGCAGTAAGGGACCTCTTCTCTCCCCAAACTGAGTTATTTGGGATCCTGAGGGAACAAGCGGCATGAAAGCAGACCTGTAGCCTTCCCCAAGAGTCTCCAGCTGTTGACAGCGTCCCTGCACAGAAAAGGCCACCCCTGCCTCCGCCCTTCAAGCTTCCCCGCAGGCTGAGGAGTGCAGCTGGCAGCCCCGCCCCGGCCAGCACCAGCCAGCACAGGGGCAGGGGGTATTTCCCTGTGTTAGAAAAGATGGGAGAGACCAGCCAGAACGCAAAGGAAGGCGTCGCGAGCTTTGGTCAGGCCTGCGCCACTCTTCCAGCACACATAACCTTCAAGTGTTGAAAGCCAGAGCCAAACAGGGTTTTAACTTCTGAACATAAAACTTTATTTATTACTTTTCTAGTTATGGCCTTTTTGCATGATGTATTTAGGTTCAGGTACTTACTAGAGAAGTCCTAACCATACCCTTAGGCTGATCTGGTTTCCATCCTAACCCGACAGAGACCCTTGTCTACCTTCCCCCACTCCAGCTCGAGGCACTTGGTGTCACAAAGGAAGTGGTAGCTGGTGGGAGAGATGGGGCTCACTTCTCAACATCCCAGCATGAGTTAACAGACAGGAAGTCTCCTTCTCAGGGCCCTCCCCCAGCGAGCAGAAGGGAAGCATACAGAAGCTTCCGTGGCCACCACAGCAGCTGAGACTGGGTCTGGGGAGCGCAAAGCATCTCCCCTGCCTCTACCCTTAGTGTGTCTTCACATGGCTACTTCCTGGCCACCCTTAGGAGCCTGCACAGCACCCCCCTCCTGATCTCTGCCCCTGAGTCCAGGAAGCAAGCGATCCCTCTGAGCAAAAATCTCAGCCGTACCCAGGAGGCCCCAGCAGCTTTGAAGAATGGGAACCAGATGGCTGCATAGGGTTTGCACTGCCCTGTCCCCAGCCACGAGGAGGCCCAGGCTAGTACTGCTGGGCCCCTCTGTTGACCATGCTCACTCTGCTCTTCCTCCCTACCTCTCACCCCAATAAAGAATATATACATGCCACTGAAAGAAGATGGGGCTGAAGCAAGGGAGGCCCACGGGCACTGAGCTTGTCCACCTTCCTGAGCTTGGAAGGCACCACGGGTTGCCAAAGAAGTACAGGCTAGCGGCCTACCCATGAGGCGGGGGACAGCGTGCTCTGCTTTAGCTGGGGGTTGCGAGGGGAAATAGCTCTAGCTCCCGAGGCCAAAGCCTGTCGGAGGTGGAAGCCTCACCCTCTTGAATTCACTTCTACCACTCATAATCCCTTTTAGCAGTAGAATATGCTTTTTATCCCTCCCCTTCCAACCCCAGCGATTCAGAAGAATCTAGTGTCATGTGGTGGTGAGGGAGAAGGCACATCTTCAGCCTCCCCTGCCCAAGGCGAGGGAGGCAGGTGCTTAGCCCCTGCCGGGTCCCTGCACACCTACAGCCAGAGGTCACCCATGCCAGGACAGAAAGGAAATGGGGTGTTTTACATGAAGGGAAGGAGGAGGGTCTGAAACCCAGACCCCAGGGGTAGGGCCCAGCCCCCCAGGGAAGGGAGAGCCCAAGGTGGTGCAGATTGGGGTGCTCCTTAATTGCGATCCCCCAGCAGCTGCAGCACAAAGGTGAAGATGTAGATGATGTCCGTGTAGATCTGCAGGGCGCCAGTGATATAGTCCTCCGGGCTGATGGTGTGCTTCCGGTTCCCCAGGACCAGCTGCGTGTCGTACGCCAGGAACTGCAGGGCAGGGCAGTGCAGCCGTGAGGGAGGACCCCGGGCTCTGTGGCCAGCAGCTCTGTCCCGGGAGTCTGCCCCAGGGTGTGCTTGGAGACCCATTAGTGCACAGCACACCCAAGGCTACCTCTAAGTGGTTCAGTCTAGAGAGGGAGGGACACACTGTCTCTTTAGGCTGGCTGAGGGTTCTAAGAGCCCGCAGAGGGCGGGAATGCCCAGAAAGTGAGCGCAGCCTCCGGACAGAGGGGAGAGGGAAGCGTGGCTATGGCTCTAGCCCCTGCCTCCCTAACTGCCTGAATTCATGCCCACCTGCTCAAGTCTTCCCCTCCGTCCCCTCAGCCCCCCATCCCAGAGGGGCAGGTTTACTCACCAAGGTGAAGCAAATGGCCCCCAGAGCAGCATAGACCATGTGGAGCCAGTAAATCTGAGGAGGAAAGGGACAGGGTGAGAAAGCTTAGCGGAGCATGGCCAAAGCAGGCCCCCAACCAGCTCCCTCATTGTTCAGGCACTGGGTGGGAATGCCAGAAAGGTCTACTTCTGCCTTCCAGTTCTGGCGAGAGGCTAAGAATGGTAACATGTTTGTGGAGAAGACAGGCTGTTCTCCAATAGCTGTAAGAAACCAATCTCACTTAAGGTACAGGGGCATCCACTATCCACTTCTGGAAGGAAGAGGTGGTTGAGTCATAGTTCTGGGAAGGCCACGCCCCCCCACCCCCCACCCCACCCCCCAGAGGGCTCGCACTGCTGAACACCAGGTTGAAGAGCCCCATCTTTGTTGTTGACCACCAGCAGTGGTCAACATTCTAGCCTTGGGGGAACCCCCTAATCTCCATAACAAATCAGCCCAGCCTTGGGGGGGAAGTCCCCATGATGAATCAGAATCAGGATGCACCCCCAGGTGATGCCCACAGGCAAGCCCTCCTGTTCCTCTCCTTGTCCTCCCAAACCTGCTCCCTCCCAGCCACGAGCCTCCCCTCAGCGGAGAAGGCACTCGCTTGTGCTGACTGGAGTGAAAAGGAGAGGGATACTGTGACCCCACAGGCCCTTCCACACAGCTCATCTCTGTCGCTGCCCGGCCTGCTGTCTGTCTCAGATGTCAGACCTAACCCGCCACTCCTGTACAAATGCAACAGGCTGCCCAGGGTTCTGTGCGTGTGGCTGCCTGTCTACAGAGAATACACCCTGACACGGCGCCGCGGCACTGCAGCTCGGGTCTCCACCGGAGGCAGGGGTAGGGCCAGGGTGGGGCTGATACCCAACAAGGTGTGGAAATATCTGCCCTGAGCGCTGGCTCATTGACCGCAGCTCTCCTGGGACACTCACATACTTGAAGGACAGCACAATGGCAGTGACAATCCCCGTCACCATCATCACAATCCCCAGGACACAGAAGAGACCTGTGCACGAGGTGAAGTCGACCTGTAGGGAAGGTAGAAGGCGCCCCAGTCACACGGTGCACAACCCTAATCCCATCAGGCTGGTCCCGCCACCCCCCACCTCTGGGGACCATGGGAGACATGGGCATGGCCATGATGGCCTACTGAAAGGGACAAGCAGCAGTTTTAGAGGTACAGATCTGAGAGGAAGGCAAGTAGGGTATCTGAGGGAAACCCCAGTATGCAGGGGTGTAAGCCCTCCCAGGCCTGCTCAGGTTACAAGCCCAAAAGGGGAGCTCTGGACAAGGAAGTGGGTAGACTTCTAGACCAGAGCACTCCCTGCCCTCACCTTGGTCTGGAAGCAGAAGATGGTGACTGAGATGGACACCACCGCAGTGATGATCATGGCGATGATGACAGCTTTCGTGTTATACATACTGGGGGAGAAGGAATTAAGAAAAGCCAGAGACATAAGAGTGACTGCAAAGCCACCACGTGCAGGAGTCTGCCCGAGGTCCACCCACACAGATGCCCGCCAGCCCAGGGATGCCCTGCAGCCCCGTAACGCATGCTTCCCAGGAACATGGCAGCCTGCCCCTGGAGGTACCTGGAAATGGTGCCCGTCATGAAGCCCATGGCCAGAGTCTGAGGGAAGGACAGATGAGAACAGAGGCTGTAAGAAGAGGTGGGACCTTGGCAGCCCCCCAGAACTAGACACAAATGGAAAAAGCAGATACCAGGGAGAACAGGCCCAACCCCTCCTTCCCTGGGATCTCCCTCCCTCACACCACCTCCACACGCTCCCTACTCTTCTAGACTTACAAAGATGGTCAGCAGAATGATGTTCCATGGGAAACGGCGCCTGACAGGAAAGAAACCGTGATAAGTGACTCCCGGCCGGGGCCGGGTGTCCGCGGCTCCTGTAAAGAAGGAAGTTCCTGGCCCCTGTGCCGAAAGACTAGGCCTTGGCTTGCAGAGGGGAAACTGCCCAACCTTTGGTGCCTGCTCAGGTGTTCCATGTAGAGAGAGACCTGGGCTGTGGGGCCAAAGACCTAGATTTGCTTGCAACTCTTACTTTCTCCAAGTGACTGTGAGACAGTCACTCGACCTCTTTGGGCCTTACGCACTTCCTGTTTAAGTGGCTAAAAGGCTACATATTTTGCAGGTTGCTGTAGGAATGCTAACTAGCTAGGTCCTGCGCACGCAGGTCCCAGTACGCCTGACAGTAGTCACTGTCATCCCCACCATCATCACTGCTGTATTGCCATTCAGCTCCATAAGGACCCCCCTTCTTCCCAAAAGCCAGTCCCCCCCCACTCCTCCCCTCTCACTGTCTAAGTCTCAGGGACTCACCTGGGTCCCTGGCAGCAGGCGAGGGTCATGTAGGTGACTATGAAGACAGCACTGGGGGAAAGACAGGGAAGTGACCACAGGCCGCCTGGCACACTGCCCAGGCCGGCGGGCTGCAGACCACACAGCTACTTGCTAGTCTGAGGGGAAGCTGCCCAGTGCAAGGCTCCCCCCAGCCAGGGCCGGGAGCACCTCTGACGGGGGTCCGGGCCAGGGGGTGTTGACAGTCACAGCAGATAGGCCAGTGGGGACCTCTGCAACGTGCGCGATGCCGCCACTTCCACCCTTTGCTCTAGGGTCCCGTGACTGCGACCCTTATGCTTCCCAGCACACTTACCAATTTAGGGCCCCCCTCAAAAAAGCACTTTGATTCCTGACCCCCACCCCAGCCCGGCTCCTTGCCCTGAGCAGAGAGCGCAGACTCACTAGGATGCATAGTACACGGCCACGTTTCTCCTCACAAACTCGCCGACCGGTTTCCTGTTGACAGGGGAAGATGCGTCACACCCCCTTGTCACCTCCTTGCTGTGTCCCCACTGGCAGCCCGCGATCGGTCCCCCGTGGCCCCACCTCAACCCCTCTTCCCCTCCCTCCATCAGAAAAGGACCCACCCCACACTCCCAGGGCCCCAGGCCCAGGACCCCAAAGACTCACACAAAGGTGAAGACAGCGATGATGGCCACTGTGATGAGCAGCTGGATGGAGATGATGGTGTAAACCTGGAACACAGCCAGCAGCGGGCAGCCAGTCACCATCCTCCGCCCTGCCCGCCCCCTTCCCCAGGAAGTTGCAGGAGCCCAAAGACCCTACCACTCTCCCCTTCCCCCATCTTTTAGAGTTAGGAAAAGGGCGCCATAATTTTGTTAACACCTGCTCTTCTCAGTAAAGAAGCTCTTCAGCTGCAGCCTAAAGGCCAGCCCCAGCCCAAACCCCGGCTCTGACATGACCCACAGCCTCAGCGCTGTCCTCCCACCTAGCCGCACCCGGCCCTCCCTGGTCCGCATCTGCTGGGCGCGCTGCTCCCCCCACCCACTGCACCCCCCACCCACTGCACCCCCCACCCACTGCACCGCCCTGTGGTCTCTGCATTGCAGGCTTGAGTCTGACGTTTGTGGGGTCTCCTGCAGTGCAGATGTGAGAGGAAGAGGGCTAGGGCAGCAAATCCGCATGGCCATGAGGGCTCCCCTGTGCCGCCAAGCCCCACAGCTCACCTTTCGGATGAAGGTGTGTCGGACCTTCCTGTCGTCCCACTCTCCAGGCCCAAAGCTGTCGCTCACTGCTCGCTCCCCATCGTAGCCTGGGCCTGCGGACAGGTCACACATGACTGCCTGGGGGCCTGGGACAGGCGGCCCCAACCCCAAAGTCTGTCTCTGTGACACTGTCAGTCTCAGCTCTCCAGCCAATGGCAGTGGATCTCCGTGCCCAAGCCGGGGGCCTCTGGCTGCCCTCAGAGCTGGTGCGAGCTGTTCCACCAGCACGTGTCGCCCCCCCCCACACACGCGTGCTCACACGGGCAGGGCTGGAAGTCAGCCAGGACTCCAGGGTGGAGAGGCAGGAAAAGGAGGCAGAAACAAGGCACGCGCGCACGGAGGCGGTAAACAGCCTGTGACGACCATGAGCTCTGTCCGGGCTGAACAGATAGCGGGACTTGGGACAACAGCCCCGTCGGAGGTGGCGAGCTCGGCCCGCAAGGCCGAAGGCGAGGGATGCGTGCAGCTCACACCGCCGCGTGCAGAGGGCGCTGGCCGCTGCTGGGACGCTCCTGCAGGAGCTGCTTGCAGAATCCCCACCACGCCGCCCGGGAACAATCCCCTGCATCCTAATTGCATCTTAACTTTTGACCAAATGCAGCACTGACATGCCATGATCTTTATCGACCACCCAAAAGACATCCGGTGTTTGCGAAAGTCAGCTATCACTTAAAGGATTTGCAGCACACCACCAATTTCTTTCCTTGTTTCTGTTTTTAAGTGCTTTGGCTTCCAAAGTCTGGGTGGTGTGGCAACTACCTACTTAGGAGATGGGGTGCTCGGCTAAGGTAACTGCTCAGAGCAGTCAATCAGTTCACCTGGCCATGCTGCCGCCTGGCCTAACAGCTCAGGTGTGTCTCATGAGGTCAGTCTACTCGCTGAATAAAGAGGGCTAGTTGGTTCAGGGGGGCTCAGTACTGAGGCGAAAAGCAGGGAGGTAACAAAGACGGGGACAGGGAAGGAGAGGTCTAAAAGGAAGATGAGGAAGGGATTAAAGGAGTGAAGAGACGAGGCCCAGGGCGGCCTCCGTGCCCCAGACTAGTGCCGCCCCCTCCGCCCACCTGCAGGGACTCACCGTAGTTCATGGGCATCGGATGGATGGGGGGCATCGGCTGTGGGTAGCCAGCAGGGTGACCGTAGCCAGGCTGGGGGTAGGCAGGGTAGGGAGGGTACCCACCAGGCTGCCCATAGCCCCCCTGTGGTGGAGAGCCGGGGTACAGAGGGTTTCGGTCATCATACGGAGGGGGTGCACTGGGGTTGGACATGGCTGCTCAAGGCTGAGGGGCCACCCCCACTGCTGAGGCCTGAAAAGGGAAAAGAGAAAAAACAGTCATGAGTAGCCCGGCCCCACTCCCTCCGCCCGTCAGGGCTGCCTTCGTGTTGAGGGGCCCCCGGTATTTTTCCCTCCATCAATGTCATTCCCTGCCCACATCACCTTCTGCCCACTAGCTTAGCCCCTGCCCCTCCTGCCAGCACGCCAGCTCTCTGTCCACCATCCTGACCGGGCAGCTTCCTGACCTAGCCAAGCAGGAGTAGGGTTTGGAGCAGGAGTGCAGAGAGGCTCTGAGAGTCCGTGGAGTGAGAGCTGAGGACGGGCCCGCAAGCCCCACTGTTCTCATCTACGAAGGCTCCAGAGAAGCTGGATGGCTCCAGTGAAGCCTCCCAGTGAGTGAGTCACAGGGCCAGCTGGGATCCACTGAAGGGGTCAGCCCAGCCCCCATGGCAGCTGGCAGGAACATCAGGCCTGAAAGGCAGAGCTGGGGAGGAGCCAAGGCCCAGAGCGGAGGGTGGGGGAGGAGGCGAGGACAAGGCTGGGACACAGGCTGTGAACTCCAGGCCAGAGCAGGCTGAGTCAGGGGACGCCTGAGAGGCTGGGCGCGTGGGTGCTGGCCACTGAGGCTGGGAGGCTGCACAAGAGGGCAGGGCACAGACAAGACTTTCTGGTTCCTTCAAAACAGCTGAGGTGCATGCTGGGCCTGTGGCAGCGTGTAGCAGCCTGTGACCGCAGCCATTAACTTCATGGCTTTTCCTGAAGTGCATGGCACCTCAGGGCCTCCTGAGGGAGAGACACTGAGGTATCCCTGTCTGTCTCCCCTGAGAAGCCGGGGCCAGTGTGCTAGGGAGGGCCCGAGGAGCTAGGCCACAAGATCCAGTCTGTACCTTCTCAGCTGCAGGATGAGCCCCTCAGCCAGGGGACAGCTGAGGAGCCAGGAAGAGGTCTAGACACAGAGCTCAGAAAGACTTCCAGGTTGTACAGCCCCAAATGCTCAAGGCCAGGGCAGTGAGGTGATTGCCCAGAATCACGGGACTACCAGATTAAGGACACAGCCAGAATGGAGGCCTTTAAGGGCACAGGTACATGTTCATTATACTCTGCTAGGCTCTTTATGCCTCTTCTGCCAACAAATGCCCTCCGAGCCCAGTGTTCCCCACTGAGGAAGCAGAGCTGGGGCTTGGGAAGAAGTAAGAAGGAGGTCCCCAGGTCCCTGGTAGGGACCAGACCTGACAGAGTCTGAGCCCTTGACAGGGCCCACACCTCCCCCTAGGGCCTCTCCCAAGGGATAGAAACTAGGGAGTCCCCAGAGAAGAAGCACCCCCAGATCCAGGTCAACAGACTTCCTCAGAGCCTCTGCTGGAAGAGAGAACTGCTTTCTCTTTTTAGGGCACCCTGCACCATTCAGGGATCAGATAAATTGTCTTCTCTTTTTCTCAGGGATGATTCAGAGAAGGGAAGGGGTTACATGGGTGCGGAGGAAGGATCCAGTAACAGGCTGGGTCTCCAAATGTTATTTTCCATCTTCCCAGCACATGGACACAAGCCAGAACAGGACTGTCAGGTCAGGAATAAGCGTGACCTTCTTGGCAGTGAGGGCATGACAGCCAAAACCAAGCCATCAGCAGCAGATGGGGAAGGCCCTGCACCAGGGGTGGGGTACCCCCAAGAGCAGGGAGGACTGAAAAGTAAGCATTGTGTGTCTAGGGCACAGAGACACAAACTCTTTGAAAATGTTTCAGGCTTATATTATGGCAGCAAAGTAATCCTAAATAGTTTAAATACGTGAATCTCCTGAATAGACTCTTTTAAAAAGAAAGTTGAGTTCTCTGTACATCAGCTAGAGGCTCCTTCCCCCTAGACCACCCCTACCAGTCCCTTCCAAAGACCCTGTCTAACCAAGAATGGCTCCCTGTCTGCGGGAAGAGGCACGGGCAGAGACAGGAGCCCCTGGGGGAAGGCTCTGGCATTACCAGTGGCACCTAGTCCTGTCAGACTGTCACCCTCGGGTGTGCACACAGGTGAACATGCTCAACACCACCTGAGAGACAGACAGAAACGGCCCTGTGACCAGAAGCCCCACTGGGCCACTAGTGATGTCACCGTGACTGGCCCTGTTGCTATAAAGGGCGCACCTCCGTGTCATGAGGTGGGGCGGGCCAGAGGTCTGAGTTCACTTCCAGCTCTGACAGACTGCGCAGCCAGGCTCACCAGGCCTGCCCTTTGCAGAGGAGCTGCCTCCACCCTTCCTCTGAGCCAAGCAGAGCAAACAGGTCTCTTCCGCAGACGCAGGGGCTGCCCCGCTGCTGCAGGGGGCGGGGTGAGCCAGGGAGAGCAAGGTCGGCCTTGCTTAGGCCATCAGGACGCCAGGGTTCCTGCCGGTGTGGAGGCTGCTGACTCACAGACTCCGGGCCCCTCCCTCTGACTTTTCTGGTTTCAGAGGAATTTGCCAGTAGACCTGACTGCTGGCACCCAACAGGTCACAGGCCCGTTCCCTGGGGACTCACCGCCAGGCCTTGCTCACCAGAGACCTGAGCTGACTACCACACCTCACTATGCCGCAGCCTTCCCACCTGAAAATGGCTTACCACTATTAGAGTACCGCCAGATGTACAGGTTGTAAAAAGTCAATGAGCAAATGCACAGAGAATGCTCGGAATGGTGCCTGGTGCCACACAGGAAATGTTGGCTGTTTGAATGAATATTCCATGAACATCTCATAATAGCCCAGCAGGGTGGAGAAGGCCCTTACTCCTTTTTACAAATGAAGTGGAAGCTTATGAAAGTTAGTCACTGAGCCAGGGTACAAGGAAGTCAAGAACGCTTGATTACGCACTAATCTCACATCCGGATATCCCACTTATCACCACTGCTCAGTGCTTCCTAAGACCCTCTCAGACCTCAGAAGGCCACAGCCAGTGGTCACCAGCCACTCTTCACCAGCCAGGTGCCTTCTTTCTCCTGCAGTCCCAACTTGGCACAAGAGGAGCATAAACACCACAGAAGGGAAGCTAGGGCGTTGCCAGGCCACCCCCTCGCTCTACCAGCTGACAGCCATGTAGGGAGGTGGAGTGACCTGTCCTGGCCAGAAAGCTGGGCCTGGGGCTCCAGAACATCCCAGCTCTCCAGTCTGGCGACTCTCCGGCCTGGGCACAGGGGAAAGGGAGCGAGCTGACCCCACAGGAATGTGGCTAAGCTCAGCCACACTCACTTCTGAGCAGTGCTAGACAGCAGGAGCCTCAGGCTGGGCTCCTGGCCTTGGCAACTTCTGAGCCTGTTCCCTGGCTGTTGCCCAACCTACATGCAGGCCCTGGCCATTTGCACTCCATCCAGGCCTCAGCCAGGCATGAGGTTTGGGGCTGGCATCTGCCTCCGGGGCAGGAAAATGAGCAAGTGGTCAGTGTTTACATTTGTAGCTGACAAATGGTAGGAGCCGGAGAAGAATGTAGAGTAGAGAGGGAGGGAGGGAGAGAAGATTCAGAGACAGAATGAGGCTGATTGATGCCCAAAGACTAGAAACCAGGAACCAGGTCACCTGGGTTCAACTCATTCAAGGGCTCGCAGCCTCCAGAGACTAGAAGAATCTCTCAAGGTTCCCATTAGAGGCCTGGATTTTCCTAACAGTAGCTATTCAGCTTGGACTTGAATACACTCCGGCCACAGGAAGCAAGGCTGTTCTGTTTGCAAGCAGTCTTCCCACACGCCTGTTCTCCAGTCTGACTGGGCCCCGTCCTTGCCCTGTTAGGAGCTAAGTTTGCTCCCCTCTTTCATGATACCAGTTTCCCATCGGGAAGGAGCCAGAACCCCCTCTTTCTCCTGCAGGACCCCAGGCCCAGCCATCACAGCAGCAGACATGGGTGGACTTGAACAAGGATTAGGTGGCTGTGGAGGTTTTCAAGACACAGCCTCTGGGAAGTATCTCCTTCCCCAGGAGCTGGCTCTGAGTGGCCACCACCAAGCCCCCAGCTCATTGACTTCTGGCCAGGCCTCTGCTTCCTGGAGGTCATTGAAGGGTTAAGGCTCTGGAGTCTCCAAGAGAAGGCCTAAGCTAATGGGGTTATAGCAAAAGGGTGTGTGTTGGAGGCAGAGGCAGAAAGGAGCAGCTGACTGGTCCAGGCAGCCTGCCCTCCTCCCTGCCAGGAACTGATGCCCAGATCCAGAATGGAAAGAATAGCTCAGAGCTGCTTCTCAGGAAACCCTGCCCACAGACGCACGAGTACTGGGCGGAGGTCTCCTCTGACGCTAGCTCCTTCCCTCCCTTTTCCTTTATCTACCCCAACTTCCAGCTCTCCCCCATGGCTGCCAAAAAAACAAACAAACAAACAAACCACTTCATCCCCCTACCCAGAATCTAGCCAGCAAGAAAGAGTAAAAAGATTCACCCAGGAGTGTGAGGGCAAGTCACAGGCTTGATGCACGTGGGCCAAGGAACCCAGTGTCAACCTATCCTGTCAGCCTGGCCTCTGAGATAGTCTAAAAACCCAAATGTCACAGTTAGCAGGGGCTTTCAAAATCATCTGGCCACTTCACAGACAAGGAAACCCCAGCACCTAGAAAGTTCCTGCCCCAGCCCACACCAAGCCCTTGGAGTCATGGGTTAGAAACATCACTCCCGGCCCTGCCCACTGTCTGAGAAGTCAGAGTAACAGAGGCCAGCACACGCAGGCCCTGAGGAGGCCAGCAGACGTCACCTAATCGCCAGTGCCCTCCTGCTCAGAAAGAGAGGACCTCCAACCCAGACTTCCCTCAGCCAGGGCTCCAGCCAGGGCAGCCTGTGTCAGAGGCTGAGGTGTGACCCCAGTGTCCTGGGATGGCCCCGGTCCCCATCATCCTCCTCTGGGAGCAAAACTGTCTCCTCAGTGCAGCTAATCTCAGGACCCCAGATAGCCAGCGGCTGGCAGGCCTGGGGGGAGAAAGACTAGGAACGAGGCTCCCTATCTCCTTCTACCTCTATAGCTGAACCTCAAGATTAGAAGGCAGGCGAGACAGACCATTAACAGCCCATAAGGGAGAAGCAGTTCAAACCCTTCC